TCCCAACGGCGGCACCATGAGGAACAACCCCATGACCGCCGCTGCCCCCATGCAAACTATAGCGGCCCGTACACGCTCAGCCAACCGAGCGCAGACCATCCAGCAGACCAAGCCCCAGCGCAAGGCAAGCAACCCCGTCCTCGGCCAGGCCACAATGCCGCAGACGGCCCATACAACGCCCCCTGTGAGCGGGGCTCGTAAGCGCGGCAGGCCACGGCGTGAGGGACAGACCATCACTGCGTCAACTTCACCCACACCCCCAGCAGACCTGCCTCGCAAGCGTGGCCGTCCCAGGCGTAAGCCAGTGGAGGCGCCAGCAGCAGCTACGGTGACTCCAGACGTACCACAGGCCAAATCCCCGGCAGCAGAGCCCCCAGTGGCGACGCGGCGTGGGCGCGGTAGACCCAGACGCAGTGCACAGACAACAGACATGGCACCCGAGCAGGAGCCGGCATTGCCGGTGGCGCTCAACACACCCGTCCGGCACAAGCGCGGCAGACTGAGGCATGCCGTACAGGGGGCAACAGTTACCCCTACCCCTGCGCCCGAGCCGACCCCTATGCCTGCACCCGACCCAGCTACTACCCTGCCCGTGGCGCCGACACCGGCATCCATGAGCCAGCAGTTCGCAAGAATCGCGTCTGCGCTAGAGGACTTACCGAATGTCGCGGACTTTCTGCACTGCCAGGATGACGATGCTGAGATCCAGTCCTGGATCAAGCTGTGCAAACAACGCGAGGCACTCAACGGTCCGACAACTCCCGAATACAATGTCGTCAGCAAGAAGGCCTTGCGTGACGGGCGATTGTACGCTCTGGCCCCCAGTGACACGCCCGGGCCAGTAGGCATGTGGGTGCCCATACTGACGCGTGAGGCGGCGCGAGACTTTGTACGCAAGGCACACCAGGCCCTGGCACACGCTGGGTACAAGCGGACCCTCGACTTCGTGCGCGAGCTGATTACATGTCCGGGCCTGGGCACAGTGGTAGAAAGTCTGACAAAGTGCTGTCACACCTGCCAGATGACAGCGATCCAGAAAAAGTCACACACACCCAAGATCATGTCGTACATTGCAAAGCCGCTCGAACATGTCTACATCGACTTGCTACACATTGGGGACAGAGGAGAAGCACCTCAGGATGCGTTAGTAGCAGTTGACAGTGCGAGCGGGTTCATGCAGATCTATGCAGTGGACGACACAACAACAGCAACACTCACCGATGTCCTTGAGAGCGAGTGGTTTGGCACCTACGGAAAGCCAAAATATCTCACGTCGGACAACGGCCCGCAGCTCGTGTCCCATGACTTTGAGGACTTCCTGAGCAGGGAGGGCGTGACGCACATCACAACCGCCCAGTACCATGCTCAGTCTGACTTGGCTGAGGCCGCAGTCAAGAAATTCAAGCAGTCATTGCGATGCTGTTTCACCGATCAGCCGGACGAGGAGGGCTGGACGCAGCACATCCCGCGCATTGTAGCTGCACACGCCTGTACGCGCTCGGAGGCCATCGCCAACACCCCGGCGGCAGTTTTCTTCGGCGAGCCTGCGGTGCGTGTAGCGACAGCATACGCCCAGTTCCCTGAGGGTGAGAGCCCCCCCAGTGAGGAGGAGATCACCGAGATGATACGTGAGCAAGCAGCTGAGCACCGCAAAATGGTCCGCCAGCGTGCCAACGCCAGGGACAACAGAGGCATCGACCCCATCTGGTTTGAGCCGGGTGAGTGGGTGACCTGCCGTGCACTCCCCAAGGCCAGCTCAGTGGCAGATCAGTTTGCACGCCGCCTGGGTCCGTTCCGAGTCGTGTCGCGGCACAAGACCTCCTACCACCTGGCCTATGCTGACGGCAAGCCCTTCCATCGCATTGTACCAGGCGACGCGATCACGCGGTACCACCATGGAGCCTCAGAACGGATCGCGGAGATCGCCCGCAGATCAGAGCCATCAGGCTCAGAGTGGACGGACTCAGAGTGGGCGACCAGCGAGTACGGGGACGGCGGCACGGGCCTCGGCGGGGGCAGCCCAGGGCCGTCGGCACCGCGCCCAAGAGCATACGCTCAAATGCCCGAAGCTAGGGCCCAAATGCTGATATCCCTCCCGTCGGACCCGGGCTACTCATGGCCGGAGACGCCGGCGGTTGGTTCCCCGCCCGAGTCACATGTACAGTTCATGGGCCAGGCCCACCCCAGGATATTCGCGCCCTGGCACCCAACCACACTCGAAGAGGAAGAGGAGGATGCCCCTCAAGTCGCTTTGGAGCCCGCACACATTAGGGTGGGACCATTCACACCACCCCCACAGTCGCCGGGCTCGCCGGACAGCATGGACAACAGCGAAGCAAGATCCTTCCTGACAGAGATCCGCCACCAGCCAGCAGGCAGACTAGAGGTCCCAACAGCCCAAGTGGTCGCTGAGGACGTATCCGAAATGGAGGATGATGGCGACGGCGACAGTACCGGGCCCTACGAGGGACTGCTTGCAAGAGCCGCTGAAGAGCCATATGTGGATGAGCATGACACTGAGAGTGAAGAAGAGGAAGAAGAAGAATACGTGAACGACAGCCGAGACGATAGCGAAGATGTGGCTGGCGGGGCTCTCGTTTCCGACGAGGACGGCAGCACAGCCCCAGAAGGCGAGGACGCTCAAGTCATGGGACACACGCGGGCCTACGATCAGGTGATTGTGACACGGCCCGCGGGTGCACTGCTGACCAGGAAACCGGCTCTGCCGACAGCTGAGATCGTGCCCGGCCGGCCGGTCAAGAGAAGTCGAGCGCTCACGGAGGCAGGCTCGGAGGACGTGCAGCACCACCCGGATGGCCGGGAGGCACTGCCCATATATGACCAGTCACCCTCCCCCCCGAGCCGAGCCAGGCGGCTAAGGTCCGACGTATTCCACGAGCAGAATGAGACCGCCGCTGGCGACACTGGTCTTGACGTTTTTGTTGCGCAGACTGAAGATATGGAAGCAGATGTTGAGGTCGAGAACCGCGAAACAAGTTCCCACCTGCGCGCTGATCGATAGGACGCTAATTGGATAATGCAGGTGCAAATCAGGGAGGCATCACACTGATGCCCAAACATGCCCCCCATCCTGTAATGCACACGCATAAGCGTACACGCACGAAAACCACAACATCGACTTGCCAAGATACCGGTCTACTCGCAGAAGATCCAGTTCTCACCAACGGAGCGCACAATGGACAATGTGCACGACAAAGGCGACTGGGAACATATATAAGATGAGGCTGGCCCCTAGTAGTACTTTAGAAACATCAGTAATAAAACCTTTTATAAAATCACCCCTAACTTTTACCACTAGACAACTAGTGCTCCTCACACCCCCCTCTTACTATAACATGGCAACAACAAAAAGAAAAAACCAATAACAACAACAATGGGATAATGTTTAGTTTTTTGTTGTTGTTAAAATCCCTCCTTTTTTAGAGCCTCTCAGAACGCAAATACTCTAACTCAATCGCACACTCCAAGGATGAAAAATATTTGAAAGCCACACTTGGGACTAAACTTCTTTAATACTCGACTAAACACAGTCATAAAACTATTTCATATAAAAAGAGGGAGTGAAAAATATTTTTTGTTTTTCCTATTGCGCGTGCAACTGCACAAACACAACTGCTGGACCACCAGTGCAGACCATTATCCTTTTTATTTCTCCCTGGTATCCGATTAATTACGCCAGTCTAAATCTTTGTTACTTTGTGGCGATAAATAATTATTTTTTATTATCTTTTGTGACACGGTGAAGCGTAAATAAACAGGAAGTGGTTGAATCCCAAATTATTTGCTTCTGGATGGCTTCTGATTTGCCCTTACTCAGCTCTGCACATTTCAGATGTCATTAAACCCCAAACCTTTCGACATTTTGCTGGTAAATTGGTCATTTTTGTTGGTATGGGGAAATTGACATGTGAGGCTCGCAATCTAACCCATCTCTGCTGATCCAGATGTCAGGAGACTCGAACAGGGTTTTTTTAGGAAGAAAAATAAAACGTGCAAAGTTTAAAAAGTTTGGTAATCCATTCTCATGTGACAAGAGGGATGAGCCTCACTTGGCCTTTTGGGCCCGCCCTATAGGGCTGGCCACAAGCAGGATAATTGGAAGTTTTGGTATTGATTTTTTTACTTGTTACTGCCAAAACTGTTTGTTTATTTTTCATGTTTGACAATTATCTTTTTTTGCAAGTTGAAAAGGGCCTTCAGTTTAATTTGGGCAATGAGCTTCTAGGCGTTCCAAAGCTACCAACAACTATTTGGCCAGCAGAAATAGAAAGGGATCCTCCCCAATTTTTTTTGCAGGAGCCAACCAGATACGCCAATTAAACCCACTGGCTAATCTGAGTCAATTTCAACCAAGAAATCCAAATATATATCTCTCACACTCAGGCACCCGAGACTAGATAGAAATCAGTCCGAAAGCCGACATTTGATTGGGAACAGCAGCCGAAAGGCAGGCAGATTAGAAAGAAAACTTGATGATTGCCATGGTCTTGCTTTTTCTTACGCGCTTTGCAAGATCATTGGACCGGTGTCTGCAGGGAATCCACTTTTCTGGATACAAAAGAACGCAGCTTTTTTCCACCACTTGTAATAGGGCTTTTGTTGTTTGGTCTTATCTGCGTCTCTTTCAACCTGCCCTCTTCTCCCTGTTCCCTAATTGAACAATTACCCAACGCACACGCCTGATTGGCTGGAGGTTATTGTTATTGTTTTTATGTCTTTCTTTTTTCTTTCTTTGCTCGGGGTGCTTGGCAGATGTGGCCTGCTCATCAATTTTCCTAGTTTGCCAGTATCTGAGCTGTGACAAAAGGAGCCCAGTTTTTGTCTTTTTTGACGCCGATATGTGGGGAGGAGGGGATAGGAATTTTAAAGAGAAAAATGCGACTGTTGTAGGAAAACTAAGAGCGAAAAAGACAGACAAGAAGCAAGCAAGCAAACAACAACAAAATATTAGTCAGAGCTGCTGGCAAGGTATAAAAACCCTCGAATATATTCCCGTGGCTCGTGAAGCGTCTTCTCATCATAAAATATATTTTATACCTGTGAACTTTTTCCCTTTACATTTTTACTCCCTCCTACCTTACCCACGCCAACATTCCCTTGTTTTTCTTTGAAAACACACATCCTTTTCCCCGACTCAACAATAAATACAATGCAGTTCTACACCATCGCCGCTCTTGCCTTCGTCGCCGTCGCCGTCTCCGCCCAGGAGGTCGCTGCCAACGCTGAGGATATTTCCGTCACCGAGTCCGTCGCGGCGCCCGTTGCCGTCACTGACGTCAGCAAGAACGTCGAGGAGAGCGACCTTGAGTCCATCGCTGAGTCCATCGCTGAGTCCAGCGAGGAGGCCGAGGAGAGCGACCTTGAGGAGAGCGACCTTGAGTCCGACTCTGAGGAGTCTGGATCCTACTCTGGCTCTAAGTCCCGCTCTTCTTCTGACTCTTCCAGCAGCGGTGCTGCCAAGATCGTCGGCTCCTTTGCTGCTGCCGCCGTTGCCGCTGCCGCTTTCTTCTAAGCGTCTTTTTTGTCACATTTTATTTTTTACATTTTCTAATACATATTTTTTTGCCAAAAAAATTAACCAATTTGTATATTTGTTTGTTTTTGGTATTATAGAAATATGCGCTTTAAAGTGTTTGGCTTTAACAGCGCAGTCTGACACTATAATTGGTTGCCCCTCTGTATCTATTGTGTGTGTAGATATGTGGCACTTTGGAGCCTTGTCCTGCGCTGGCATCGCCTATTTTGGCTATAGCTAATAAGCGCCCCCCCCCCCCCCCACACACACACTCTTGTAATCCTGTGGTCCAGAGCTGTGACTGCTTTGCCTGTTGCAAGAGCTCAATGAATTTGGCCTAGTTTCTTTAACTGTTTTGGCAGTTTTTTTATCTATTTTTAAAAAATAGAAAAGCTTACGTATTTCTTGAACACCACGACATATTTATGTACTGAGAAAATTGCGCAGTTTTTTTTTGCTTTTTGCGATATAAAAGCATAACGTTTTTTCCGTGTCCTTGGAAATTTCATTTCTTATTTTTTATATGCGTCCTCTTCACATCATTTCTGTAAACTTCTGTTCTTCCTCTTGCTTTAATTTATTATTACTTGGCCTAGTTAAACCTTTTTTATTTTACATTAAAAGTCACCATCTTTGTCAGCAAGATACGAGCTATACAGTCAAAAAAATTAGCATGTACGACTTGGGCCGAGCTATGATCTGTCAACCGAGGAAATATTTTAGTACCCAGACCATGCAATAACAGCCTGGTATACTACGACACATTCGAGTTCCCCGAGAAATCCACGTTTCCAGGTGGAAAAAAATACGTGTTAAGTGTAGAGCTACACAACATCATCGACCTGGAAGCTATATTTACTGATTATATGCAGAACAAAAGACTGTACTCGCATTTTTCGTATTGTACGGTGATACCTGCGACGTGTACATACTGGGACAAAAATTACAGCTACACTACGATTTAAACTACAGCCCCGATGACGACGATACTTGAATTAATATAAAATTTTGGATTCACAGACCCAGATACCATAGAAACATGTATATCATGCTCTATGTCGGATTTGCTACGAACAGCCTGTGGAAGTGGGAGAAATTGTCGAATTTCTGGTATTGACGTCGACAATGCCGAGGTTGTTGGAATGGCAAGCGGAGGCAAATTATTGGATGCAATAACTTTGAATGCGAGAAGCTCGAGAATTGCAATGAGCAGCACAACTAATATAGAGATATTTTAAATACAAGGCAATAACAATAACAATACGATGAAACAGTGACCCACCCTCTGCAAATGCCGTGCGCCGCCAGACATTCGCGCACCTTGAATGCAGCGGGCGGTACAGCACCGTTTATCACAATGAGCGGTCTCTCTTTACAGCCAATTAATTAAAACAGCACAAACGGTCCGAAATTACATCATTCATGCATGCCATGGTCTGCACGACAAATGTGCAATTAGCTGGCTGGCTTGAGCATCTGAAAACAATAAAAAAATTACAAGCCATTTTGGCTTAGGCAGTAATTTAAAATGCAATTCAAAATGTGTCTCAGCATCACACAATGTTTTGATTTACTGTCGGTGTTTGCCATGTATATAGAAAAAAGAACAAAAGCGAAAGATTTAAAGATTTAAAAGAGAGATAGGGAAAGAAAAGGGTGGGGGGGGGGGGCAGTGCTTAGACTTGGGTCATAGGCTGGTGCTGCATAACGCTGAGAGGCACCTGGGGCTGGGCCTGAGTGGCACAGGGGGAGCGCCACCCGAGGCAGCAGCAGCAGCCTGCTGGGCCCGGAGCTCCTTAATTTGGCGCAGCTGCGAGGTTCTGAACTGCTCGTAGTGGCGCTGCGAGGTGACCTCAATAAGGTCAGACAAGTGGGTGCGCAGCATAAAGTTGCGCAGGTGGACAAAGTCGCTATGGGTCTCATCAAAGATATTGATGACGCCCCAGCCGTGACGACGGCCGCGAATCAGCTTGCCCTCGACCTCAATGACCTCCTCGGAGCCGACAACGGCAAAGGGGATGAGCTCCCTAATGCTGGCGTTCAGCACGCGGTCATCATCGGCATCGTCATCGCTGGCGTAGGGGAACAGCATAATGCGGTGGAAGGCAAGCTCCTCCTTGATATGGCGCTTGAAGGCTGTGCGCTCCTCGATAGTCATCGAGTCGGACTTTGCAATGACGGGGATGACGTTGGTCACCTCAGTCAGACGCTTCAGCACCTCAACATCCAGGGGACGAAGCCCGCGGCTGCCAGGGTTCAGGAAGTACAGACAGGCGTGCACGCGCGTGTCGACAATGATGCGCTCGCGGTTGGGCTTGAGCTCGCGCTCCAGATAGGCAGCGTGCTGGTCCTTGATGTACTTAATGACGGGCACCCAGCACCCCTCGTTATTGCACTGGTCGCCAAATCCGGGGGTGTCGACAATGGTCAGCTTGACGCGAACACCGTTCTCCTCGAGCATCTGCGTCACTGGCGCAATCTCCGTGGTCTTGCGAATGACCTCTGGGCGGCGCGCCGGCCCTGCGTGTCGATCAGGTGGCTGGCGAAGATGCTGTTGACAAGCGTCGACTTGCCCATGCCCGACTCGCCGACGAGAATCACGTTGAGATTAAAGCCGCGCTTGAGGAACTTGCGCTCCATCTGCTGCGTGATCGTGTCGAAACCGACGTAGTCCTGAACATCCTACATACAAGTAAAAGTGAGAAAGTGTGTGCGCGCTGCAGTGCGAAAGAGGTGGTTAATGGTAATGTCGTGTTAAGCAAGGAGGCCGTTCGCATTGTCAGCACGACCAATTCAGCACAGCATCTAGATTGCCTGCCTCGGCTGCTCGGCCGTTTTGCAATAGCCGCCAGGCCATTCAGCAGGCAGCTCGCATTCAACACAAGAAAAAAGGTGGTCCTTACGTTTGCTGGCGCCGACATGGTAGTGTTTTGCTTCTGTTCCTAGGGATTCGAGGTGAGAGTGGTGGTAAATTGTAAAAATGCAATTGGTAAAAAAATAAAAAGAATAAGAGAAAAGAGGATTAATGTTGTGGTTATTATTAGCGAAAAGAGTAAATAAAAAAGTGCGTAGCTTGTGTGAGAGAAGAAAGACGCTTTCCTTTTTTTTGGCAACAAAAGTTTTTGGAGAAAAGAAAAAGAGCCAGCAGATGTATCTGTATGCAATGAAGACCACGAAGCGCAAAATGCGCCTTTTGTTGCACGCCGGCAAGCATGCCCCTCCGGGTGCGGGAGAGGGGGCCGTCTCCACACGCAAGTGAAAAAGCAAAGGCCAAAATGGCAGTAAAAGCGTCAACAACCTGCCAGCCAAAAGCCAAGTCGGCCGCAACCTCTGCCTCTCAAAAAAGAGGGGGGAATGCATCAGACAGAAACCAATAACAAAAAAACGAAAACAACAGGAATTTGACTGCTCTTAAAAGTGCATTCTGTGCGGAGGCAAAGAATGACGCTGGGGAATGTGAGACCAGCCGGAGTTAAAACGCACGCACCCCCACGCCCCAAAGCCCGCAAAGCCTGCAAAGCCTGCATTCCCCCCCCACACGCCAGAGCCATTTGCTGCACTTTGCCAAAAAGCAGTGGCGCCAGACCACCCCTATGCCAGGCTCTGGCGACTTTTGCTGCCCAACAACAACACCACGCACAGCCCATTCTTCGGCTCATTCTGCAGCGTAGCTCGAAACACCAAACGTTAGCAGCACCCACCCATGTTTTTCTCTGCCCGCAGACCTGGCTGGAAGACTGCCCGCAGCCTGGCTGGATAGACGACCTGGCCGCAAGTCTCCCATTAAAAGGCCAGTTCAGCCTCCGCTGCTCGCAGACAGAACGTGAGCGAACCATACTATGCAATCTGCGCGCCCAACCAATGCCATGCCATGCTGTGCCGTGCCTCGTTTTGTTTTGTTTGCTTTGTTCCAAACTGCCCGACCTACGCTCTCTTTTCCTTTAAAAAACACCAGATCTCTTCACCTGTTCTAATTAAAAAAGCATCATACATCGCATATGTGCAAGCACGTCCTCAACGCCCAGGTCTCCATCCGCGCGCCCTGCTGCAAAAAGTGGTTCGACTGCACACAGTGCCACGCAGAGGCCGCCCAGCACGAGTTGCAAAGACCAGCGAGATGATATTCATGTGCAAAAAATGCCGCAAAGCATTCCGCAAAGATATGGAGGATGCCTACGAAGAGGCCGACGAATACTGCCCGAACTGCGATAACCACTATATCATTGAGGCCAAGATCCCGGTCGCTGCGCTGGGCGTTGAGGGCGAGGACGCCCGCTTGGACAACCGCATGATTAAGGATGACCGCGTCAAGGACCAGACTGGCTCGGCCTTTGTTCAGAAGGATCTGAGGCGCGCCTCGGTTAATGAAATATTTCAAAAAATGCTAGCTTTTTTCCTCCTACATTTAATAACATGGAAGCAGCACCATTTCTCTCATTCTTCCATTCTCCATCCCTCTGCCTCTTCAATCCAGCTGCCTGATCACGCACGCAAATCAACGCCTATCAGCGCACACCTCTTTTGGATAGCCAAGTTCCAGTTACTGCCTATATCCGACGGATCAATGGCCGTAGCGGCCCATACACACATTTGTGCCAACTTAAAAGGAAATCGTGAAAAAGTTGTAATGTCGTTAAATTGGCCATATGTGGCTATCAAAGAGAAAAAATAAACTGTAAAACTGTAAAGACTGCAAATTTGCGAAATTGTAAGCCGTACTCAAGCAGCAACCAGGCTGATCAGCGACAGAACAATGGCGACCAGCGACATGGTAGCTGACTTTCCAGCAGAGTTATCAAGCCCAGAAAGGTCGTACATGTCATAGTCGTCGGTCATTTTGTTGTTGTCTTGGCTGGATTTGCTATGGTGTGCAGTATGCAGGCCCTTACTCCAGCTCGTGCCGCTGCTTGTCTCCCAGTGGCTGCCCCCGTGGCTCTTAGACCACATATCGTTAACCGTTGAGTCGTGTGTCGGGCTGAAATGCAACCCAAATGGCAGCGACTCGCCTGAATGTTCCCCTACTGTGTCGAGTTTGCCCAAACCTGTGTTTTTGAACAACCCGTTGAGCATAAATGTCAGAGGCAAGTCGGTGCTTCCTAGGCTAGCGCCGCTGGCGCTTGTGCTTGCGGGTGCATTGCCCAATGAGAGAACATTACTCGATGTGGTTGCAGGTGCAAAATCAGGCTCGGAGATGGTTGACGGGGCAGGCGGAGTAGATATTGACACGGGATCAAATGTAGGAACAGTCACTGGGGTTGGCGCTGGCATGGGGGCGGGGGGAGCAGCTGGGGCTGGGGGCTGGAGCTAAAGCAGGAGCAGAAGGGAATGGGGGGTTTCTTGCGGAATTACTGGCACCTGATTCGGCAAAGTAGGGAATATCTGCGACTGGAACGGCTGTGGCAAAGCCTGAGGCGATACAGATCCTTGGTTTGCAAACCCTGTCGGCAGCGCCAGCGCTATTTGCTGCTGCTGCTGCCCTGGCAGTCCGATATTTGTAAACAGCTGCGGAGCTGCCTTTTGGAGCTCTTGGACGAGGTTCTGGATGGCGCGTTGCTGCTCAGGATTCTGGGCTTGGATCAGACGAATCGGGGTGAATGAGCTAAATGCGGGTTGGCAACGGCAGGTACTTGGGGCTGTTGCTGCTGTGCGTTGGCGCTTGCAATTATGCACATGGCCAAGCAAACCGTAGTTTGTGATGGCAGTAGAAGCATTGCTTATATGTAGTAAGATATTAGTCGTCAAATGTAATGAATTTTAAAAAAATCAAAGTGGCTTGCTCAATGGTACTGATACAGTTCGTTAATTAGAGAGAGTAAAAATATTAAGAAGTGGTACTTGATAAAAAAAAGTATACAGTTTAGGTACTTGGTTGCTAGCGGGACTGCCGGGCTTTATGAATGATTCGACAACGGTCCAGTCCTTCAGTCTCGATTAAATAATGTGAATGGAAATATTTTCTCATGAAATTCACTTTTGGCACATTACAAGTTAGTAAGAGTCTCAGGTTGGGCCAGTAACGGCACCAGTAACATTTGTCCTGCGAACAATCTACACTATTAATCAAAGTAGACATTTAGCTCACCGAATGAAACGCGAGACAAAAAAGGCAGTTATTTAATTTTGCCTATTGCTCGCGTTTTTGCAGTAACTTTCTCGCGTATCACTTTTATTGGTAACGGATCTCGTAGCGGACGACTGCCGCAGGAAGAGCGGCCATACACTCCTTTCTCCTCAAAGCCCCCAAAAACAATCAAATTTATCTTGGGAACCCATGTAACTGCTTAAAACTTCTTTCCGTCCAATTAGCAGTATTATATTGACCCAAAATAAACGACTACGACATGTCCCCAGTTGTATCTTCTAAAGGCAATTGGTGTGGCGCCTATCACAGCGATAAGTGACATCTCTACTTCTGAGAATACGAGAGAACAATGCCAGCAATTCGGGCGCATCGATTGAACAATCCATTATTTTTGAATCTCATTTCAAAGCCGCTCACTTCATTCAATTCACGGAACGAGTTTTGTCAGTAACTGCGACTACTCCTCCCCCGAACATCATACATTTTGTCTCTCTGCACCTCAGGATTTAATTAAACCCACCCCAACCACTCTGCACACATAGACACACATTCGCACAAACCTTCTAATAACAAGGATGCAGTCATTATTCCGGCGTTCACAGGCCATCAGAGCCGACCACGGCCGCCAGCGGCCCACATGGGAGGAGCGAGCCAGAGCAGCTTTGGCGGCAGCGCGCGAAGTCGAAGAAAGCTCGGGCGAGTCAGTACCCACACGGCCCTCAGAGGTCAACGCATCCAAGAGACTGTGCTACGGACCGCGCTACATTCTGCCAGGAACTCACGACGGCCTAAACGAGCTGAAAATCCAACAACAGTATGAAGAGCCCTGCGACGTGCTGCAAAGCAACTTTTCGCTTGACACAGCATCCCTCCATATTCCTCTCTGATGGTCGAAAACGCAGACTCGCCGAGCGCAGTAACTCAGTCACCATTTTACACGCTAATATTTACTGTCAACTCGCTGGTTCCGCTGACCGTAAATCTGCACTGGCTAGCCACTGAGGAATGGAACACAGAAGGAACCGCAGAAAGCGGTTATCCACGCTTTGTCTCGCGCGTGAACATCAACCGCTCGTACGCACTGGGTGCTGGCCGCAGCCAGCAGTTCGCGCTGCCAAAATCCGACTGGCTCGTTCCAAACGAAGAGCCATATTGCACACTGCTCTCGCCCGATTGGCAGGCCCGCAACGGAGCTGTATCTACTGCCGTTACTTTTAATGCTGCAAACTCGACGCTCATTGTTGCAAACTATTCGCAGTCATTTTGCGAAGGTGACATTGAGGAATCCGGTGGTGGCAGCAACATCGAGCTAGATGTTCTGCAGCCGAGAGACCCCCGCTTTGTCAAAAATGTAAACGAGATCCAAGAGGTCTCATCAACCAGCTGCCAAAAGGCGCCGGTATACGGTCTTATTATCGAGCTTATTGAGTGCCGCCCGGACCAGCAGAGCCCAACCCAGAGCATTGCACCAGCTAGCCAGATATCTTTTATTGAATTTTACAACGAAGGGGGCATGATGGTCATTCCGCGCTGCATCAAGCAGAAGGTCTGTGTCGGAGGCATACTATACCTGCAGCACGAGATATTTGGGCTCAGAGAAACTATGGCCAGCCATGCCAGCTTGCGCAACGATGAGCCGCCGCAGTGTGCGATCTGTCTGTCGGACGACCGTGACACTGTGCTACTGCCTTGCCGGCACATGTGCATGTGCCGCGAATGCGCCAACACATATCGACAGCAGAGCAACAAGTGCCCTATATGCAGAACCGTGGTTGACACCATCCTGCACATCCAGAGCAACAAGCAGGACCAGCCGCTTGTCGAATAATACAAGTGCTTTTTTAATTATTTATTCATTTTGAAAGTCGGCCAAGTCATCAAAGTTCATGTTAATCAGCGCTTCCTCTATAATGTGCTCCTCCAAAAGTTGGTTCTCATAGTCCTCCCAGTCTGCATACTCGCTCGCATAGCCGCAAGAGCCCCTGTCATCGGCACCTGCAGAAGGCTGTGGCTTATACTGTAGTTCAGGTCGTCCTCGATATCATCGAATATTTTGTTGTCAAGGATGCCGTATTCTAAACTCTGCTGCTCCATCTCGGCCTTGAACCTTGCCCACTCTTGCTGGATGATTCTGCACATATCCTCCTCCGATATATCGTGGTCACCCGTTGGGTACACCTGGATGCACTCGTCCTGCTGCTCTATCCCTGTGTCAGAATCGCCATCATCATCGTTGTCGCCAATCTGATCTGGGTGTGTCAGCTGCCTGCGCTTCATCATGGACTGATCGCGCGCACTGTGGAGGCGGTCAAGGCACTGTTCTCGGAAACGCTTGCGCCACGGCTGCTCGTCGCTTCTCGCTGCCCGCGAGCTGTTGGATAGGTTTCTGTAGTCGGCCTTGCGGGGTCTTTGGCCACCCTCTTTGTTGCCGTCGTCAGCTCCTCCGCTAGAGGATGAGTTTGGCACTTCGCGCATAAAAAATCTGCTGGTTAGTTGGTTAGGCGGGGACGGTAGGGGCGAACATGAATCCATCAATGGCTGCTGCGTGCTTATCGAGCGAGTGAATTTGTGTAATGCAAAAATATTTGAAGAAATTTACGTTGAAAATAAAATAAAAATAAAAGGTCGCTTCATTGTTGGCAAAACAAATAAAAAAGGGAAATTTTATCACAAATACCAAAACATCTGCAGTGCGTGTTCACGCCTACAAACATTGAACCTGTGCTGCGCATGCGCACTCGCAAAATCCATTCGTGTGTTTAATTATCGTGAGTTTAAATAATTTGATCAGTAATATTTCCATCAACGCCACGCACCTGTGATTTAGCGTGATGCTATTAATCTGACGGATCTGCCAGATTATTGTGTAGATTTTGTATCCTTTGGCAACATGATGGCAAACTATTTCTTGAATTGTATTCATCAAAGAACAATGTCCTGGAGACACAGCGGCATTACATGTGGCGAAGCTTACTCGCACTCATTTTCTTCCAAACATGTATGTTATTGTGTAAAAAAGATTGCTGACCACCATATGCGCTCCATTCACTCATTGCAGTATGTATTTCCAGCATACTCACAGATAAAGTGCATGACGCCTCGAATATGGCCCTATAATGAGCACGAAACAATTAAAAAATAGTGGAAGTAACACATGATCTGCTAATTATGTGGGTTTTGTTGGAATAGCCCTAATGCACAGCTTATTTGGAGGCTAATTGGCACCACTGGACTTTATTATCATGAAAATAAATACTTTGTACATTGCCAACAGTGCACAGTTGGTCATATGCCAAAGATAATAGGGGCGTTGATAATATACTTCCCCTGAAAAGAACTTCCCCTGAATTATGACGCATCTACTTGAAACACACCTGAGCTCGTATCATAATTGCAAGCGCTAGTGTCAGGCCGAAACAGCACAGATAAATACATTAGGGGCTTCGGTTCAAAAATGTTAATGTGAGCAATGAGTATAAAAGAATATTTGCATATTTACAAGTGCATATATTAAGCGATAGTTATGTGAAAATCGTTTTAGCAGCTAAACAATAACTGAATTTTTTATAATTGCTGTCCTAATCTCATTTTTGTATATATATGCATCAGTAATCTGGTGTATTTTTACAAAGCACCACAACGGTATTGTATTACAGCAATATCATTAATTTAAATATAAATTTATATCAGCCTTTCCAATATTGAGTCAATATTCCAACAATGTCCTCGAATGGCCAAATTCAGCAGCAGCAGGACCAGCAGGCAAAGTCTAACAAGCAACATTTCGATACACTCGCTCTTCATGCTGGCCACAGCCCTGACACTTCTTCTAATTCTCGTGCTGTCCCCATCTACCAGTCAGCCGCCTTTGTTTTTCGCAGCGCCGAACATATAGCCAATCTGTTTTCCTTCAAGGAAGAAGGGCATACGTACGGGCGCATGGGAAACCCAACTAACGATGTATTCGAGAAGCGTATCACCGCTCTCGAGGGTGGTGTAGGCGCCCTTGCTACTTCCTCCGGCCAGTCTGCTCAATTTGTGGTTGCCAGTACCCTCTGCGAGGCCGGCTCAAACATTATAAGCAGCAGCTGTGTCTATGGTGGCACTTACAACCAGTTCAAGGTTGCACTCCCACGCCTGGGCATTAATGTCAAGTTTGTCAATGGTGACGATGCTGCCAAAATTGAGTCTCTTATCGACGATAACACTCGCGCAGTGTTTATCGAAACAATTGGCAACCCCAAGTACAATGTGCCTGATATCCGCGCTATTGCCAACGTTGCTCACAAGCATGGCGTGCCGTTGGTTGTTGACAACACTTTTGGCATGGGTGGCTATCTTGCTCGCCCAATCGAGCATGGTGCTGACATTGTCACCCATTCGGCGACCAAGTGGATTAATGGGCATGGTACTGCAATTGGCGGTGTTGTTGTTGATGCTGGCACATTCCCCTGGAACAATGGCCGCTTCCCTTGCTTTACTGAGCCTTCTCCTGGATATCACGGTCTCAAGTTCTGGGACACATTTGGTCCTGAAAGCTCATTTGGCACCAATGTCGCCTTCATTTTCCGTGCTCGCGCTGAGGCTATGCGTGACTTTGGGCCCACCGCTGCTCCATTCTCATCATGGCTGTTTGTGCAGGGCCTGGAGACTTTGCCTCTGCGCGGCGAACGCCATAACACAAATGCATTGGCGCTGGCTAGGTGGCTGGCACAGCATCCTGCTGTCTCGTGGGTGTCATACCCAGGCCTCGAGGATCACCCATATCATGAGAATGCCAAAAAGTATCTGCACAACGGCTTTGGCGGTATGCTGAGCTTTGGTATCAAGGGTGGGGTTGAGGCAGGCAATACGTTTATGGCATCTCTCAAGCTCACATCGCATCTGGCCAATGTGGGTGATGCCAAAACGTTGGCAATTCAGCCTGCTACAACCACCCATGTGCAGCTGTCGCCCGAGGAACAGCTCTCTGCTGGTGTTACCCCCGATCTTATACGCATATCTGTTGGTCTGGAGAATATCGAAGACATCAAGGACGATTTTGAGGCCGCTCTTTTGGAATCCAGAAATAGGACGCTTTCCATCTTACTTTTAGCAGTGCTATATTTTTAACATTGTGACAATGAAAACAAGCATAAACACTCAATTCAATACAACCTATTTATTTGTCATATATCATGTGATGTGCCAAGATTTTAACATCGGCAAATATTTTCACCCGTACAAATAAACTGCATGCAGCATGATGCTGAACAAATAAATAAACAATTACTAGTTGAATATGCAATAAAAACGTACAAGTTGGCATGTATAGCAACTCCATTATTAATTGCAACTCACACGATTGCAGAAATTTTCAGTTTAAATAACCGTATTGGGCACGTAGCATCGAATGAAATATAAACGTGCGGATATTGCTGGAAAAAAATCTGCTCGAGTACTGAATTGAACGCAGGATTTAAATTGCATTGTAGCCGAATTGGGTGGATGAAGAATACAAATTGAGCGCGACTAACGCTGGTCTAAACGCAATATGTATGCACACAGTTGCGCACCTTCTCTTTTCCTCTGCCCCCAACCACCAATCATCACTCCCCGTGCTAACAGGTATGGAACGCAACTGCTAATTTAGGCAGCCTGCCCAATGCGTTTTTGTTTCAAGTTTTTTATTTCAACAACGCACGACAGCAAGCGAGCTGACATCAAGCAGCACGGGGAAGGATTCTGCCGGGCGGCGTGGGCGCGGTTGTTGGCGGTGATTGGCCAGAATTGGCCAAAATTATCCGAATGAGGTGATTATGTTGGTCATTCGGGTGCGGACACAAAATCCACCAATACCGCTGCCAGTATTTTAACATGGAATATAAAAAAGCACAGCAACCAAATATATATAGCACAATGAATTTGATCGATCGATCGACCGGCTGCTGGATTAATCAAGCGATAACAGCGCCGCTCGTCTGGCCACTGCGGATAATTAGCGCGTGTGTCCGCACGCACAACAAGAGCTATATTTCCACTGAGCAAAAACGTGCTCGGGACTTTGGCTGCAAATGAGAGGTGTCGAGGTGCTTGGGATGCCTTACCTCTTTTTGCTTTGGGCGAATTCCTTTTGAAAGGTGAGAAGCGAAGTATCATGGAAAAAAGTTGGCAATCGATGGCGCCATCTCCAATTCCGTCATTTGTGCAGACTGCAGCGCCATACGTCTGCTGCTGCTACACTCGTCTTCTACTGAGGGTAGTGCAGAGCACATTAGAAAATTCGAAAAGCAATTGGAAGGGTCTAAGCGTATGGAATGCACGCATTTTTAAGTTGTCAGTAGACGCCAGCGGGTAATGTCGGAACAGGCAATTACAGTTCCAAAAATAAAGAAATAGAGAGCAGATGGGTGGGGTGGTGTTATTGAGTAATGTACAAGAGAAATTAAGAGTGTAAGGGATACAAAATTATGCGTATCAGTTGGCTGAGAAGGCGAGGGCAAAATATGTTTTTGTACAGAGTTGTGTTGTTCTGCGCCTAGTGGAGCAGCACGCTAATTGACGGCAGCGATGCGCCCTCCATGCCGTGCATGTTCGGGCTGTTGCACGCGGTCGAGGGGCTGTTCGAGCGTCGCGCAACATCGACATCGGCATTGTGGACAAGGCCTGCTTTAGCGAGAACTGCTGCTGCTGGTCCTGTGGCCATAAAAGCGGTGGCTGTGTTGGTACTGGGCGGAAGGGTAAGAAAAACTGGGCGCGGCGCTGGTCAAGTAGCCGACGCTAAGCAGCGGCGACGACGCCTGGCTGTGACCAAGACTAGGGCCAGGGCTAGCGCTGGCTCTCAGCATGGCATGCGCCAGCATCGGCGAGGCAGTGGCCGACGACGCAATGCTGTTAGCAGAACTATCGTCATCCTCAGCTTCAGCTTCAGCTTCGGTAAGCGCAGCGGCATTGCGGCAGCGACGCGCCTTCGAATACTCGGCGCTGTGCGTGAGCGAGTGTTTGCGCAGGCTGGTCTTGCGCGTGAAGCGCTTGGCGCAGCCGGGTGGTCGCAACCGTATGGCCGCACGCCGGTGTGAGTGCGACGGTGGCGGGCGAGCGACGACGAGTCGCTGAAGCTGCGGTCGCAGGCCTCGCAGGTGTGCGGGCGCTCGCCCGAGTGGGTGCGGAAGTGCACCTTGAGCGCCGAGCGCTGGATGAAGCGCTTGTCGCAGTCGTCCCACGGGCACTCAAAGGGCTTGACGCCCGTGTGGATGCGGAAGTGGCGCACCAGGTCCGATTTGCGCGCAAATGAGCGGTCGCAGTCGTCCCACGAGCACAAGAAGCTCTTGGCCGACGACGACGACGAGCTGCTGCTGCTAGTGTCATCGTGAGTGTCGTCGTGGGTGTCATTGTGAGCGTGAATGTGACTGTAAACGTTGGTGTCCAGAAGGGCGCCGACGTCCATTGTTGAGGAAATAAGTTTGTAAAAAGTTAAAAAGAGAGTGTGTGGGAAAGGTGAGCCAGTGCGAGAGGCGCGTAGCAGAAGAGATTGGCAGGCAGAATAGTTGGAGAATGCAGCTCTTTGGTTTGTTCGAGTAACGCCGGGCGGCAGCAGAAAAAGTGCGGGCGGGTGCCGCTGCTTTTATATGCGGGCTCCGAGCCCTCCACTCGGCTGAGCGCATGAGCGAGCGCTTCCGAAAAATAAAAAATCTCGGGAATTATTGGGCCTAGCAAGCGCATTTAGCATATGCAGTGACACCGCGAGATGGCGGGCATGCCGCCTCTAGTAAAGCACGAGCCAGCGCGCGATGGCCTCGATTGCGCTATCGGTGCCATCGCAGCGATCCCATTGGGCGGAAATTCGCACGGACGCCAAAGGCGAAAAAGCCTTTCTGCTACTTTTTTTTTGCTCCGAGCAGAAAGCAAAAACTAAGGGAGGGCTCATGCGCGCCCCTGTGCTCTTTTTGGTTTGTTGCGGAGCAAGCAGCGAACAAAGGCCGCAAAAGAAAGATGACTCTCTCGCCTTCCCCCTTTTTTCCTTCTCATTTTGGCATTTACAGAAGCCAGTCGCGAACGTGATTTGCTGTTGCTGCCCCGAGCGCTGCTGCGTCTGCGTCCGCTTGAGATTTTTGTCGATAGCTGATCGCGCCCCGATAACACCCACAATGGAATGGCCCATGGGAGAGACGCGAACAAGGCCGGCTGGCTGCCTGGCTGCCATGCCTTGTCCCTCCCCAGCCAGAGCAGAAATAGTGGACTGAGCGCGCGCCGGCGACTCTGTGCGTTATCGCGCATCATCTCTGCTCAACATCGATTGCAATAACACTGCTTTTCTCGCGCCAGGGATTATGCGACTGCTGCTGGTTCCGAAGTTTGGGCTTTACAGCTAGTTACGAAGCAAAGGCCTGTGAAAAAACAATGAAGCGGGTGCAGATATTTAATGTAGCATGACGCAATATTCTCTCGTTGTGCCATCATTGCCATTGCCACCATAAATATAGTGCGCGCATTGCCGAGTCAGTGCATTCACTCCAAGGCAGCAGTTTGCCCCTGATTGTTATCGCAGTGCATGGCCTATTTCTGCTCGTGGCAATGGCAGTGACAGATGCCCCTGCAAGCACTCGTTAATGATGCTTTAAGATGAGAGTCAGAATAAAGAGAGGATCCGTGGGTTTATTTTTTCTTTCTTTTGGAGCATTTGCGATCGGATAGGGATCGGAAAGCGATCGAGCGAAATCAAGGAGGCATTTTGGTGAGCAAGGGGTTCGGAAATTCCATTTTTGAAATATAAGGCGGGTTGGGCTCCTCATAACCAGAGCAAAACAATCTTGGATAGGCATCTGCACCAAGGCTTCTTTGCCTCTCTTTTTTGCGCTGGGATGAGACGAGCCTGATGTCGAGATAAAGACATGGGTGGTGCGCCACGCGTTGCATTTGGGGGAATCGATTGGGCGGGCAACAAGCGGCAGCTGGGCTGGCACGGCAAACCGCGCTTCAGGATATGAGCGCGAGGCGTGTGAAAATATTTGTCACATAGGTTTCTATTTAAAATCAACGAAATATCAAATTAATTGTAATCGATAACAGCAGCTCTTACACCACCGCCACCCTGTTTGTATTTTTGGGCTCAGACGGGCGGCAACGGCGCGCGGCACACGGGGCACTCGAGCTTCGTGTTCATCCAGGGCACGAGGCAGTCCGTGTGGTACACATGGTGGCAGGGCGTGACCATGTACTGCGTGCGATCTGTCGCTGTCGTGACGTCGACGCTCTCAATGCAAATGGCGCACTCGCGCGGGCTAGTGCGGCGACCAGAGGCAACAGGAGCAACAGGAACGACTGCATCGTCCTGGGCATTTGAAGAGGGGTCCGAAGAGGTATCTGCAGGGCTCGACGATTCAAAAGGCTCGGCGCCATCGTGAGTTACATCGGGGACCACCAGATCGCTGGTCTCCAGGGCGCTCTCCTCGTCATCAGATGGCAGCAGCGGGTGGTAGTTATAGACCTCGGGCAACAGCTTGGCGGCACAAAGAAGCGGGGGCCGAGCAGATCCTGCAACAGCAGCACAATGGCTGGCCACAACGTAGCCAACAAGGGCCCACACCAGCGACACGGGCGCAATGAAGGCAATGTTGTCGGGATACGCAAACACATAGAGCGGGAAGAGAAGATGTATGGCGGTGGAGCCAACGACATATTCAATGCGCAGGCCTCGGGCAGTGCCGCGGACGGCGTTGCGAACAATCTGAGGCAACCAGAAGGAGTAGGCTGCGGTTAGCAGCACGGCCAGCAGCGGAGCAGCGACCGGATTCAACGTCTCAGTGTAGAGGTGAATGACAAAGGCGCCCGCCAGCAGCATTGCGTACAAGCGCACGTATGGAAGCCACACCCGGCGCGTGGGCTCTTCTTCCTGCTGCCGCAGTTCCTGGGTGGACCACAGCACCGTCAGATAGTGCATCGTGGCCAGCATCAGCAGCACAAACACTACAAAGCCCAGACCACTAAAGTCCGGACGCATGTCGCCCGAGGGTGTCAGGCCGTCGGAGAAGTGCGCGACAAAAATGAGCAGCTCGAGCATAGCCTGCCCAGCTACAGTGTAGAAAGACACCTTGGCCAGCGCAGCATGCGTCTCAGAAAACTTTATCTGTCTTATCAGCAGCGCAAGCAAGCCAGCCAGCGCCGCCAGCAGCATGCGCAAGTATATCGTCGTGCGCTGGCGGTAGCGCTCAGCCGATACCCCCGCCAGAGACCCCTCTGTGGTCACCGACACACCGCAGTCACTCGAGAATAAAATCGTCCGAGCATTCTGACATCAGTTCCAATCCTAGTCGCACAAAGACCTGGTACTCACAAGCGCGGATCACGTCTTCAGGCATCTCATAGTCGCGCAGGCCACCGAGCAGCAGCGTGCCAAACGCCTGCTTGGCCTGGGCAAATGCGGAGGCGCTGGGCATTGCGCGCACAGCCCCGATGGGCGCCAGCGCGTGCATTTCGCTGACTCCGTAAAGCACCACCGTGCCCGCATCTTGCCAGTGCACGCCACGCAGCTGCAGTCGGCCCGAAAATCCGGGTGCCAGCATAGTTATGGTTCCATGTACTAGTTGTGGCCTCACTGCAGGTTCCGCTGCGCCCAACTCGCGATCTGCAACCGACGCTGGTGCCAACTCCAGTGTCATGCGGCCGGCTGCCCCGTCGCCCGGCCGTGAGAATCCAGCGGACAAGTGTGCGCCTTCAAAGTGCTCGGCCTGCCAGTTGCCGTGGTAGACGCCGGCAAAGCTGCTGCCGTTTCTGGCTCCAGCAAGCTGCGCTGCGTGTGCGTGCACACCACTGTCGCCCACTAGCTTGTCGGCTGCGCTGCGAACCTTGGGCGGTAGCTGGGCGTACGTCGAGTTTTGTGAAAAGCTTAGGTTGCGAAAGTCCTCCTTCCACTGCCGCTCGAATGCCTCACGCTCATCGCTGCTGCGCGGCGGCATGCTGTCGTTGCCCCACGACATCCATATATACACTAGGAGAAGAAACGTAATGTAAAAACTGAGTGACCGACTCATTTGCTGGGCATCAATATCTATGTGTTTAAATGTACAAAATTGGTATGTATAAAATATAAGTGCTTGAAATTGTATTATAAAGCAGAGCAAAAGAGGGCGAGAGGGCCGAGGCTTTGCGGCTCTGCGCCTTTTGCCCAGTGTTCAAAGCAAAAATGATGCCTTCGCTTGTACGATGGCTGGAGGTCACATGCTATTATTTGAATGCGCAGCGCTTTACCCTTTTTTTGCCTTGGCAGGTTGGAGAAAATTTGATTTGATTTGATTTTTTATATATATTATTTGTAGTCTCATTCTTTTCTTCAGTGTAACCTCACTACTTGAACCGCGTGCTGCGCGACAGGCCCGACTTGATACCGGTGGCCTCTCCGCCGTAGTTGCCCTCGAGCGTGCGCACCTGTGTGACGGCGCTGCTGATCTTCTTCTTGGCCTGCTCGAAGCGCTTTCTCCGCTTGACACGCGGGTTGCGCTGTTCCTTGGTGCGCCGCGGCATGAGACCCTTGTTCTTGAGGATCTGGTAGTTGACATTGCGCTTGGCCTCACCCTCAACAGGTGCCTCCACGCGACGTTGGCCTCGACCATCATCTTCCACTGCTCCTGCCTGCGTGCCTCCTTGGCATCGGCCTGCTCCTGCTTGCCACGCACAACCTGGGCATAGTAGTCATCCTCACCGTCCTTTCCGCTGCGCCGTCGCTGTCGACATCCATGTCCAGGTCGTCGCCAAAGTCATCGGCCCGCGCTTTGATTGCATTGACTGACTCGTCATCGAGCCGCAGCTTGTCCAGTCGCCGGTTCTTGTACGGCACATCCATGTCGCCCGACAGATTGTTCTTGAACGAGCGCTTGGTCTGCGCCTGCGCGATGCGCTTGGCGTGGTGCCGCAGCCGCCGGATTGCCCGTGCCTTGTCCTCAGCATCGTCCTCGCCAAGGTGATCCTGCTCGCCAAAGTCGCCGTCCTCGATGGCATCCCACCCGGAGACCGTGTCTGCCTGTGCCTGCTTGCGCCGGCTCGCCTTGTCCTTCTTGAGCATCGCCTGTAGCTCGGCGTAGCTGTCGCCGCCACTGGCGTCCTTGCCCAATAAGGACGAGACATCAAGGAACGATGTAGACTTGCTCTTGCTCTTGCGCGCCTTGCTTGCCTTTAGTGCCGCAGCAACTTCCTCAGTGGTCTGTTCCACATCGTCGTCCATATCGACGTCAGACTCCTCGGCCAGCGCAGCCGTAGAAGCAGCAGCAGCAGCATCAGCCTGGGCCTTGGCCTCGGCGCCCGTGCCGATAATTCCACTGGCAAGGTCCTCTGCAAAGATGTCGAGCAGAGGCTCTAGCTTTTTTTGCAGGGCGCCCATGATCTCCACGCGCCGACGGAACTCGACAATGCTGGAGATCACCGGGTGGTCGCGCAGATCAATGCCGCCGCGCTCCTCCGACGTCGACGCCTTGACAACCAAGTATACGGCGACGTTGTTGATGTACTCATAAGCAGCTGGTGCTTGGCCGCGTAGAACGCCAGCGCCGGGTGGTCATCGGCCCGGACGCCCAGATCCGCCGCCCTGTCGAGCACAGGTCTAACTTCGCTCCGTACAATGCCCCAGTACGTCTTCATATCGTCGACGAGGGTCAGTAGCTCGGGGCTCTCAGCCTGGATGACCTTGAGCTTCTCAGCCTCAGGCAGGCTCAGCAGAGCCTGGCGCTTGGCGTCGGATATGTCGTAGGAGCCGTCGTTGTTGAGCGCCACGCTGTCCATGTCCAGGTGCGCCTGAGTGTCGTCGACCGAAGACACAAGCCGCGATATGCTGCTATCGCCCTTGGATGAAACGCCCAGCTGCGCGCTGAACTCGTCAATAAAGTCTCCCTCGTCAAGTGTCTCCATCTGCTTCTTTTGCAGACGCAGCGCCTCCTCGGCCTCCTCGGCAAAAGCCTCGTCGTCGTCATCTGTGTTGGATCCGTAGTCATCGGCGTCATAGTAGTTGTGCTTCTGCTTTCCCCACGCGCCGTCCTCGAACCGAGAGTCCTTTTTCTTGTTCTCGTCCTCCTCGTCGCTGTAGAAATTGTCACTGTCCGCGGCGGCGGAGTCCTCGTCTTTATCCTCTTCGCCTGATGATCCGGCCGCTGTCACACCAAAGACCTCCTGATCGGACTCCTCGTCACTCAAGCCGGCTTTGCGCGAGTGCTTGTTCATCTTTTTGTCGAATCCCAGGAGAACCTTATCGCGAGAGGCATCAAACTCCTCGTCAGAGTCGTGCTCGACGTCGTTCCACGTCTTGATCGCCTTGATGGAGGCGCCCTTCTTGATCAGGCTTTCCTCGTCGACGGGCGCCTTGTAGCCGCCTTTGCTCGAGCGTTTCTTTGACCGGCCACCCATGCTAATGTGATTTTTTTGTTATGCCTTTGCTAATAAAATAGAGTCCCGTGTCTGAAATGTGCGTGTGTATATAAAAAGGCAGGGAATTCTTTTTTTGTTGGTTTATTTGCAGAAGAAAGCTCAGACAAGCCAAAGTGTTGAAAAAAAGCAAGCATGCAAAAAAAGGGTTAAGGAAAAAAAAACAAGCAGAACCCAAACTTTTTTCTTTTCCTCGCGCTGATCTGAAATCAGGCGTGATCGGTGATCAACCAGACCGCCACAGCCATTTAATTCTGTTTCCCAGCTCACGCTTGCGACGCAAGGCACGCTCGGTGCGGAAGATCAAGGCGTCGACCAAGCCAGCAACGGTGCTGATACCGCCAACGATTGCGCAGATTGACGTCAGCAGCGAGCCCAGCGAGGGGGAGTGCTCTGTGTAGACGACGCGCATTGGCGAAATGTCATAGACCAGGCTGAGTCCGGGATCCGAGGGCTTGACAAACTCAGTGGCCGCATACTCGTTGGACCGCGCGACCGTGCCATTGCGGAAGCACACCTCGGACCCAACGACCTTGACAAAATACTGGAACCGGAAATTAGCAGCCTCGGCGGTCTTGGTGACGCCAGCCAGCGGGCTCTTCTGGCCGGGAAGCGCTTGGCCAAAGGCCAGCTCATTGACGACGTGCGAAAAGTCAAAGTCAGGCAGGTACTCGTAGCTGCGGTGCACAAGCGTGCCGCCAGTGTCAACGGTCTCTCCGCCTGAGACGCGCAGTGTGCCGGCAACCTTGTTGACGTCGACGTACCCGCGCATGCGGCAGCCTTCGCCGGCCTGCGCCCGCATCCGGCGCACGTAGCCCTCGCGCACGCACTGCTCCATGCCGTCGGGGTCGGTGAAGGCCCACCCGCGGCGGCTATAGGCCTCGTGCACAGCCGCACAGGTGTTGCAGCAGCCGCCCTCGGGCGCAATCCCGCCGTAGCAGCTGCCGCAGTAGGGCTTCCCATCGGGCCCAGTTGCCGGCGGCGCCGCTGTGTCCGGCTCCAGCACATTGGTGACCGTGCGGCCATCGCTGCTCAGCCGGGTTTTGGCGACATGCTTCGCAGCGCTAGCCTGCAGCTCGCCCGCGGTGTCGGCCACCGCGATGCCCAGCACAATGCAAGGTGCTCGCGGCAGCGTGATGTCAAAGCTGATTCGCATCTTTTCGGCGCGCTCGCGGTCGACGGCCAGCGTCGGCACCAGCTCGGAGTGCCCGTATGCCATAAGTTCCATGCCCACGAGCACGGCAATTGCGAGCGCTGCAACGACCGTCAGGATGCCACCTGCCAGCGTACGCGTGCTAAAGTCCTCCAACGGCTTGGCATAGGCGTCCAGCCGCTGCAGCCGCGCCGCGAGTCGGCCTGTTCGCGGCATGTGCGGGTCAATGGTCGAGCACGAGTGAATGAAGAAAGGAGGAAATGGTCAAGCGCTTGGGATGGCCAAAGCGTGCAATTGCAAAAATAACAAATAACAAATAACAAATAGCAGTGTAAAGGAGTAAAATGCAGTGATGCAAGCGCTTGGTCCAAAATTGACAGCTGCGTGCTGTGTGTCGCCCAGCCCCACTCCTATTTTTCGTTCTCAGCAAGCAGAACAAGAACACAGGGCAAGTTTATGCAAATCCAAATTAGCACCTTGCCTGGCAATTAAAGCTCGTTGTGATCATCGGTGATTCTGCGCTGGCTTTTCTATTTTTTCCATGCGTCTTTCGCACGCTATTCGGACAATTGGGGCTCGAGAATGCCCTCCTACGCCACCCCCGCTGCTCCCACAGCGTATGCGTATGTTGTATTCTATTTGAGAATAGTGCACGCTTTAACATGGCGTGTGCTCGATTTGCCCCGTTCTCTTCATTTCGCCTGCAGTTGGACGGGGCTGGCGATTAAGCAATGCCTGATGGTTTAGTTTACCCGCTACTGCATACTTTTCCTGTTATGTTTTTCCATAGCGGAATCGCTTAAAATAAGTTTAAAAAATCCCTCCCCACCACTTCCCCCCATCTCTTTCCCATCAAGTGCTTCAAAATAAGCAGCACAAAATATCGTTGTCCCGCCTTGCACTGCAGCCGGGGTACTGCATCCACTTATCTTCCCAGATGCCTGATTGATATTACATTTATCCCTTGTCATTTCATACTATCTACACACCCATTTTACCATCAGCAACTCACAATGGTCGTCCAATACAGCTCCAGCCGCGCCGATAATAACAGCAGCAAGGAGCCCGACCACTTTGGCGATGTCATGTCGCAGCGCGAGACGTCATGCATGCTCCCGGGCATATTCAAGAGCCCAATCCAGCGCATATGCTGACAGCCAACGGCAATCTGCAGCGCATACTGAGCTCATACTACAACATGCCGGTCTCCGTAGAGGTGCTCCTTAATGAGCCCGACAAGGCGAGTTGTCTGAGTGGCGATAAGCTGCCGATTCGCTACAACCGCATCATCAACCTGGTCTGTAACAGTATATTATATGCTCGCAAAGAGCACGGTGACTTGCTCACGCACAAGGCGCCAATCTGGTGATCCATCAGGGTGTTGGGATTGGCCAGTTGTTCCGATACATGAACGTGCTGCCGACTTTTCCCTGCATGAGGCCAAGCTTAGCGACGCAGACTCGAGCTTTGAGCGCACGTACGAGCTGCGCAGCGAGGATGTTGTGTGCATTATCACTGAGGATTCCCATCTGGCATGCTCGATTCCGAATTCTGCAAGCGGTAGAATACGGTCAAGCGGATGGCTTGCCATTATCAGCATCGATTTGCTAGGTTTTATAATTAGAATATTTTATTTCAGACACCTGCCCCTTTCCATCGCAATTGCAGATTACCAATGCGCCTCTCCCCTTCTCGTTTGCAACGGGCATGCCTTGATGTCGATTGAGTAAAGAGGTATGTGTGTTGTTGAACAATTGAGGTATGTGATTTTGTCACTTTGGCATAGTGGAGCAACTACACACGTTGCATTTTTGCGCAAGCTCCATCTTCTTTTAAACATCATTGTATTGTATCTTTTTAATATTCCCACCACAATGAAAGTCCCACACATACTGCTGCGTGCCAGCGACACGTTGTTTCTTGCCTTCATCCTAACGATGGCTATCAGTGCCAGATTGGCAACCCCTGAGAGCGAACCAGCCATGGCACATCAGGTGTACCTCGACATCAACCAGGGCCGCGGTTCATGGGGCGCATTGTCATCGGTCTTTATGGAGACACTGTTCCAAAGACGCAGAGAACTTCCGCACACTGGCTACTGGCAAGAAATGATTTGGCTACAAGGGCAGCAAATTCACCTCATAGCCAACAATCCTATACAGGCCGATGTCATTGCCAAAGGAGACGGCGTTGGCACCGGCGCCGGCACCGGCGGCAAGTCAATTTATGGCAACAAGTTTGATGACAAAAACTTTATACTCAAGCACTCCAGCAAGGGATATGTCTCAATGGCAAACAAAGGTAAAGCAGCAATGGCTCGCAATTTTTCATCATCACATCGAGTGCGCCGCGACTCGATAGATGCCATGTCATATTCGGGAAAGTGCTCAAGGGCATGTACACGGTCAATATAATTGAAAATACAAGCACCGACGCAAATGGCAGGCCCGTGTTGGATGTTGTCATTGCGAGATGTGGCAAGCTTTAGTTAAACAATGCCAAAGGTCATTTTCGCACTTGCAAAATTTTAAAAGCATAACCCGTTAACCATCAGCACCGCAGGCAAGCCACATCGAGCGAGTGAGCGCTTGTTGGGCCGTTTTGACGGCGACATGCCGCATGCAATTGGCGCTCGCGGCATTCGTTATCTCTTTCCCATAAACACGCCAATGCGGTGTTTTTCCTGGTTTCACTGACTCTGGCGTCCAGGATCAAGAATCGCCTTCAGCATTTAGCATTCAGCCTCCTCAGCTTCTCGTTTCCATTTTATTTCTCCAACACGGACGACAAAACCAACAAAAAACAAGCCGTTCATTGCTCTTCATAGGCTTTTTTGAAGGCCTATTTCTCTTTTTTATTTTTATTTTACCAGCCGAAGCTTTGGATCTTGAATACACACACATTGGCTCCCTTAAAAGAGGTTTAGTTGGATCTGTTACGTCCCTCATATCTGCTCTTGCGCACCTCAGTATACGCATCGCGTTACATAATCACCACAACAAAATAATACCAAACATGTCCATTTACAGCGCGCGCACATCTAGCCTCCGCGGCGCCCTTCTTATCAGGGCCGCTAACCGTAGCAAGTCAACCAGCCTCGCTAGCTCCGCTAGCAATTGTCTCGCAATGCGCAATCTTAGCACATCGCGCACCCATATGCATGAGGCGCAGGAGGATTCAGCCGCCACGCTGGCTAAAAACAAAGTGCCCGCCATCAAGCGCTTTTGGAAAAAGGTGAGCGTCGACGAGCGCGATGGCGGCCTCGCCGTAGTGCTAGACAGCAGGGCGATCAAGACGCCCGACGGCAAGAAGGTGAACATCGCAAAGTCGCAGGCCATGCTGGCATGGCTGGTGGCCAGTGAGTGGGAGGCGCAGCGCGAATTTCTCGGCGCACACTCGCTGCCGCTGACGTCGCTGGTGTGCCGTGCAATTGATGGCCTGGGTGACGAGCAAATGCGCAGCGACGTCGTCGAAAAACTGCTCAAGTACTTCCAGACAGACTCAGCCTGCTTGCACGAGGGGTTTCCCGAGGGCCTGGTCGAGCTGCAGCAAAAGCACTACATGCCGATTATCGAGTGGGCGCGTGAGACGTACGCGATTGAAATCGGCGTTACAGGTAACTTGTTTTCCCTGCGCCAGAGCGCCGCGGCCACAGAGGCGCTGCGTCGCGCGGTGAAGCAGTTCAGCCCGCTGAAGCTGGCCGCGCTTGAAAAGGCTGTGATGAGCGCAAAGTCTTTCCTCATTGCCCTTGCGCTTGTTGAGCACCACATCACGGCCGAGGAGGCCGCCAGGCCGCGCAGGTCGAGGCCGCCGCGCAGATGGAGCTGTGGGGCGAGTTGGAGAACGCGCACGACATCGATAACGCTGCCATTCGCCAGATCCTGGGCGCCTCGGCCTGCGCAGCCTTTGGCGCATAGAAAACATACCAGTAGATATTTTAAAAATAGTGAATTTATTTGCAACAGACAAACTCGAGCTACTCCTTGACCGGCGTGCGGCCCTTCGCGGCCTCCATGTTAATCTGCGTGCCGACGGGCGCGCCCCACTTGGCCGAGCGCTTGTAGTACACAGCGTTATCCATCGACCCGGCAAGAATCCGCTTCTCCTCCCACTGCATGATGTTGAACTCGGCGGCCTTGGCCACGTCCTTCTGGTACTCGCTGAAGATGCGCCTGTTCTCAACTTTGTCCGTCATAATGGTGGAGTAGAGTCTGGTCATCGGGTGGACTCTGCCGCTCTGCTCAATATAGTCGTCGTACTTGCCAATCAAGTAGAACACACCGATCGCGCCCAGCGAGTACTTCCACAGCGGCGAGCTGAAGTCTATAGTGTCCATGTCCGTGAAGAAAAAAGAATAGCTTTGCAGAATGCCATGTTAATATCTCAATTCATAGTTTGTGGGTTGATTCAGCTGCCAGAAGCGTTCAAGCATGCTTCCAAACTTACTCTCCTCCTCGAACTTGTGGTGCTCCTCGGCGTGGTGGTGGTCGTGGCTGTCATGCGACGATTGACGGCGGGCGACAACCTGAGTCTGTGTCAGCGTAGCGCGTGTGGTGGCGGGCCTGATAGCCTTGGTGGCTGTGATGCGCAGCATTGGTGAAAAATAATGAATAAATAGTTCCGAATTGAAGAGAAACAAAATTGAGACTTATAAGTAGAAAAGAATTTCAGAAATTGGTAAATGAGAAATTCAAATTGCCTTGAAACCCCCACAAACAAAAGTATCGGCTCGAAAATAGGCGTAAATGGCGATAACGCAGCAAAATCGGGCTTGCATCAAGCCGAGCCGAGCCGAGCCGAATTTAGTTCCCTCTTCCAGGTGCACACAAGCAAACAGTCTGATGCAACGTCTCGCTTTGCTTGGCGGGTTGGAAAAGTAGTGCATCTTTTAGCAGGCTTGCTCTTCTCTGCATTCTAATTTCTGCGCGATAATTTCCAAACACTACATTATTCACATTACAATTCCGCATTTCACTTTCTGCCATGCGCTACGTTCTACGCACGCGGCAGGCGGTGCTTGTGGCGGTCGGCACAGTCTACGTGTTTGTGCTCGCTTGGTTCAACCGCCAGCCCATTCCGACCACAACGCTTGTACACGAGACGGACAGCGCTCTAAAGCTAAGGACAACAGCCCGGCCCACCTTGGCACACGCAACCGAGATGCACATTGGCTGGAGCCCGCAAAGTATTTGCCAATGACACAGGCAAGCAACGCGACACAGCCCCCAGGCGTAGTGAATATCGATGCTGGCCTGATATACATACGCCTGCACACAGAGTTTCGGACAGTGCGACCAAACGAGCCCCTGGGAGGCATGCTCAAGGTGTACCGAAAGGGCCTCCATTTTGTAAGCAATTCGCAGTCGCCCAGCGGCAGCAAGGGTGGTAGTGTAGAAGAGGAGACATGGGAGCTTCTGTTTGTTGATCGGCTGCCGGGCCCGGTCAAGCAGTCATACCTGGATCGCACGCGATTGCGGAATGACGACGGCACATATGCGCCGCGAAGGCTGGCTGTGCTGTACTACATGCCCAGGAACGAGACGATAGTGTACCGAACTCGCGTATATGACCTCGAAACACTGCACCGGCCAGCTTCTTTGATAAGGCTATAGAAGAGGTCGGGGACTCATGGCGGGAGCAGATTGAGCAGAGCGCCACAGACGCCAGGGCAGCCGTGCGCACGATGGAGATTGCAACTGAGCACGGGCTGTGTCCAGATGACAGCCTCAAATTTGCGGACACAGTCTACGCCAGCAGCCAGTTTTTGCGATGTGTTGGGCCGGCGGGGTTACTAATGGACCACATTGACTTTGTATTACCAGGTGCGCTCGACGTGCTTGAATTCTCGCTGCGCGGTAACACATTGTTGTATTCACGGCTCAACGACGTCGTGCGGTTCCGAATGCTTGAGTTGCCAGCAGCTCAAAATGGCACACTGTCACTGGGCGGTGGAGAGGCAGGCGCGGCTGAAATTGTGCAGACCGTCGGCCCTGGAGTGACAGAGTACTTGCGTGATGTCGGCAGTCAGTCGTTCTTGGCACAGCTGCACTCGACTCGTCCAGGACACAGCGTCGATGTGTTTCTGGCGCACGGGAACACGGTCAGCGACACGTTCTACTTTTCATTTGGGCTGCTGCAGAACAAAACAGTCGGCAGCAAGTGGACCAGCGAGGACGTCAAGCGGTATCGGCTGCCGGTGCATCAGCAGTTCTCGGGGTTATCGCGAGACGAGCTGCGGCTGGTCAATGACCCGCCGTTAGTCGATCAAGTCGGACTGGCGTCTGTGTTTTACTTTAAGGCGACGGACATTATTGTTGTAGTTGATACTGAGTGGTTCCGCGACCACGGCAGCACGAACGTCACGCAGCTGCAGCGTGTGCGTGAGTCGCGGCCCCCATACATTAGCACGCTAAACAGTCCTGTCGCTGTCAACATGACGCTGGATGAAAGCGGTGCATTGCTGGCGATGAGCACCATCGACGACGAGCTTTTTATATTCTCGCGTGCGCACGCCTCATCAATCAGGCGCATCCTGGACTATCGCCGGTACTTCCGCAATTCGGTGCTGCTGCCGTGGATTGCCACAGAGCCAGTATCGTCGATAGACGCGCTGGAGGAGGGAGAGACTGACAATTTCAACTGGCAGCTCAAGCTGACGTGGCAGCCCAGCACTCTGATGACTGTTGTGCACTGGGACGAAAGCGTCGTTTCGCCTGAAAACCCGTTCCCGAACACACAGCGCTTCATCGCGCGCACGCAGCAGCAGTCTACAACGACATGCTTGCGCTTCTTGCATTTTGATCCCACACATATGGCAACCACGGCGTCAGCCTCTGCATCCTTTTCCAGGGCTGCCGACACGGCGCCACCCGCCGGTGTCATCCGCGTCGCGGCGCTGTCGGCTTCTGGCAGGCTGCGCATGTGGGAGCTGGACAGCCATGAGCAGAGTCCGCACATCCTGTGGCCGTTCATTACCGAGCACTGGGGCCTGATGTTTATGCTGGCTGCCGTCGTCTCGTGCTGCGTTTACAACGAGCGGCGCTGGGGCTGACAAACGGCGCAAACAGAGCGGACAGCGCAAACGAAATAATAACTTTCACTGTGCGCACCTAATTTTTGTAATATTCAAACCCCAAAATACATTTAGAAGCTAACGTTCTTGAAGAACACGCGGTAAGTGTTTTTGTACGCATGGTCGGCCAGTTCAGCCTCGCTTATGTCGTGCAACTTTGCCATGACCTGGATGACCTGGCGGATGGTGCACGGCTCGTTGCGGCTCTTGACCATGCACTCTCCGCTCCACCGCTCCTTGCGCTTCGACTCGGGCATCTGCCATTCGTCTGTGTTCTCGGCCTTTGCTGGCAGCAGGGCGTGGCTGGCGTGAGTTGGCCGAATCTCGCAATAGGGGCAGTCAGTCTCAATCATCAGTCGGTCCAGCGGAACAAGCTTGGCCACGGCCAGGTTCTCTTCCGTCTTCAGCGAGCATCCATTGATGCCAATATGCAGGTTGAGCTCCAGCAGCTCACGCAGGTCAGCCTCAGTCCCCGTGAACGAGTGCACAACGCCATCGCCGAACTGGTGTCTGTTCTTCTTGATTGTCCTGGCAAAGTCGCCCTCGGTGTTGCGGTCGTGGAAAAACATTGGCAGGCCAGTCGTTTTGGCCAGCTCAAAATGGCGATAAAAGTGCTTGTTCTGTACCTCCTTGCTCGAAAACTGCAAGCGGTCGTAGTCCAGCCCGCACTCGCCGATGGCAACGACTCTGCCGCTGTTGGCCATGATCAATTCGCGCAGCTGGGAAAAGTAGGCGTCGGCGCTGCGGCCATCAATCTCGATTTCGCTGGTGCGCGTCGGGTGGCAGCCGACAGTAGCAAAGAACGAGGAGTGCTCGTGGCTCAGCTTGATTGCCTGCTTGCTCTCGGCGAGGTTGCCGCCGGTGACCATCATTGCGACTATGCCCGCCGACTGGGCCCTTTCGATCATCTTGTTCATGTCGTCCTCATGCGCCCGCTTCCCGCGGTAGACGCCGCGGAACACAGGATCAGTGAGGTTGGCTCCAATGTCGATGATTTTCATTGTTGTTCTGGCGATAGCGGCTGTGCGAGCGGTCATCCAATGGAAAAAATAAAAACAGTATGTTGAAGGGAAAGAAAAGAAAAGCGTCCACCCACGCAAACATGTAAGCATGTAAGGATGCATATGGCTGACCTTCGTACAGTGATCTTGCCGCGGACTTATATTTTGCGGACGCTTGCAATGTCCAACTTTAAAAACAAGTAGTGTAATACCATTTTTATTTTATTTTTCAGCCATTAACCCGGATAATTATCTAACATGACGAAACAGGTCGCATCCAGCCCTCGCAGGCTTAGGACATGTCCATCGACGACGAGTCGACGGCGCTGGCAGGCTGCACAGTGGCAACAGGCGCCTGAATCTGGACCTTCAGGCGGGGCAGCTCAGGGAGGAGGCCTGCTCGCAATCCAGCGCAAGGATCTGCCCGATCTCAGAGTCGGAGGGGATAGTCGTGGCCGACTTCAGATTGGGCATCGTCAACGCCCGGGTGAGGCGGATGGGACCAGTGTAGTTGCACATGACGGTGATCTTGAACTGGGCAACATAGTTGGGGCCGTTCCTCTTTTCGACGGGCACGGCAAAGGGCACGAGCAGCCGCGACTTGACGCACTCATTGATTCCGGCCTTGAGCGTGCTGTTCTCGCCAATGACATCGCGCATCAGGAATGGGAACACCGAGAGGTTCTGGCTGACCTCCGAGAGCAGCGCGCGCGATGTGCGCAGCTTCAGCGAGTACTGCTGGTTGACGTCGCGCTGGAAGATGGCGGCCTTGTGCTCGGAGGCGCGTGCGATGCCGTCGCCAGTGCTGATCGAGCAGTCGATAGTGTAGGTCTCGCCAGTCTCGAACGTCAGCTCGGGGGTCACAACGTCGGGATTGAAGCGGTTGGGGAAAGTATTGGTGCCGCTGATCACAAACCGGTCGATCTGGCAGGTGAAGGCATCCTCGGCAACGGCGCACTTGAATCCGCTGGCCACAAGACCAATAGCCTTGACCATGTTGCGTGCCGTCTGTCCGGGCCTGATAATGCGCGCCGCGACCTCGCTGGCGTAGTAGGCTGCGCTGATCGCGTCGGCGCGGCGATCTGTGATCGTGACTCCCGGTGCATTGGTGGCGACTGTCGTGTGCGCTGACGACGAAATGTAGCCGTCAATGTGGGCACCGACCTCGACCTTCACCACATCGCCCTCGCGCAGGATGTAGTCATCCTCGGGTGCCGGCGAGAAGTTCTGCATAACCTTGTTTACCGAGACCGTGGTCGGGAAGCCACGCCGCGCTCGATGCTCTCCTCCTTGCGGTACACTGATTTGCAGTATGCGACGACCAGCGAGTCACTGTAGCTGCAGATGGCGGCAACAGACATGCCGGGAACAACAACGCTGATCACGCTCTGGAGGACCTGGCCGGTGATGGCTGAGGCCGACTTGTATTTTGCGACGCTGTCAGTGCTCATATTGATATATTTTTCTGTCAAAGCTGCGTAGAACTGTACAATTGAAAAAGGAAGAAGGTTGATACTAGAAACAGTTTAGTAAAAAAAGCAGCAGAAAAAGAGACAAAGTCTGTGGTCGCCCTGCCAGCACCAATGCCACCCACCACTCACCATTGCCTCTGACAATGGCGGGCAGGAACAAGAAAGAGCGAAAGAAATAGAACAAGCGAGCGTGCAAAAAAAAAATATTTTTTTTGCTTGGCTGGTCCAAATCGAATTACTGATTAAGAGGTTTGATCTGAGTGCAGGGACCTTGTTTTTCTTGCAGTCAAAGGTGAGAAAAATTCGTTTCGCTTAGCCTAGCTTCGTTTGGCCACGCCTGGCGCTCAACGGATTTTGTAGTCCCCCCACGCCAAAACCCAGCTGCATTAAAATAAAAAAGACCGGCCAATTCTACTGCATTCCGCAGGAGAAAAGCTGTTGCAGGGTGCCGTGACTCTCTTTCTCGCATGCTTTTTCGAAATTAATTTCGCTCTCCTTTATCTCACGCAACCGGGCGATTACGACACATTAGCCGATATACAATGGACGACAGTGCAGTGCGGCCAAAGTCGCTCAAGTTTAAAGAGCCGGTCATCGACGTTGCGCTCAGCCCGACAACAAATTTGGTGGCCAGCTCGCTTATCACAGGCCACGTTTTCGTCCACCGGTACTCAGTCGACGGGAATGAGCGTGTGATCAGGCAAAAGGTGCACAAAAAGTCATGCCGGTCGGTGGGATTCAGCGCAGACGGATCGCTGCTGTATACGGCGTCCAAGGACCGCTCGTGGCAGGTGATGGACGTTGAGACCGGCACACAAAATATGAACATTGAAGCGGCGCACGACAAGCCACTTAATCTCATCAAGTATGTTAACGAGCAGGTCATTGCCACGGGCGACGACGCCGGAGGACTGAAGCTGTGGGACGTGCGCCAGAATAAGCCGGCATTTTCGTACAATGAGCACGTAGACTACATCTCAGACATGGTTTTCAACGCTGACAAGCGCCACTTGCTGGCCACCAGCGGAGACGGATGCCTGTCAGTCTACGACGTGCGCAAAGCCAAGCCGTTCCATGTATCAGCAAACCAGGACGATGAGCTGCTGTCAATTGCGCTGCTGCGCGGCGGCAAGAAGGTTGTGGTCGGCGAAACCGACGGTGTCCTTGGGATCTTTACGTACGGCCAATTCGGTGATGTCAGCGATCGGTTCCCGGGCCACCCACAGAGCATTGATACCATCTGCAAGCTGACCGAGGACCTGTGCGTCACTGGCTCCAGCGACGGGTTGCTGCGCATAGTTCAGCTGTTCCCGCACAAGCTTGTGGGTGTTGCCGGCGACCATGACTCGTTGCCCGTCGAGAAGGTCGTGCTGAGCTATGACCAGCAATGGCTGTCTCATGCTCCCATGACCACACTGTCCACTTCTGGGACATTGGCTACATCTTCAACGACGACGATGACGACGACGACGAAGAGGACGGCAGCGAAGACGAAGGCGATGAGCAGCTGGATGCGCAGGCAGTGGCTATTCGTATCAGCAAGGAGATTGGTGGCGATGGAGAGTCAGACGTTGACATTGACGGCTACTCGGATGCAAGCGAGCTGAAGGACCGCGACGTAAATGACGAGCTTGATTCCGATAGCGATGGCGATAGCGACAATTTTGATGACAACACCGGTGACGACGTTGGTGCCAGCGGCAGCGACTCGGACGGCGAAAACAGCGAGGCAGTCGTCGATGTCGATGGCTCTGTCAATGGAGACGGTCCTGGCCCTAGCACTGGTGCTGGTCCAAGCGTCAAAGGCGGTGCTGATTCTAAAGATGTTGCCGGCGACGACGGCGATGACGGCTGGGGCAGCTGGGGCGACTCGGACGACTCGGACGGCGATGATGCGTCGGGCAAGAAGAAGAAGCGCAAGCTGACCAAGAAGGACAAGCTCAAGGCCAAACGCAAGGCTCTTGCAGAGCTGGCCAACCCAGAGCAGAAGAAGGCGAAGAGGAAGGGCAATGAGCCAAAGGCCTCGTTTTTTGCCGATCTGTGAGCTGGGTTGGCTGTTGCCTGTCAATTAGAATGTCTTTCAAGCGCGTCTAGAGCGGAATCCGAAACCCAAAGCAATGGCTCGGCCAGAGTGCCATGGTATGTCAGTTTTGCTTGGTTATTTTCTTTTGCGGGTTGGCTCTTTTGTAGGAAGAGAATGCTTTTGCGGAGAGGGAGAGAGAGGAGATGGGATGTGGTGCTGGGAATTTGGGGGGTGTGCGGAAGCAGCCAGTCACAGGCAGTCTGTTAATTTGCGAATTTGGCCAGGCCTGCAAAATCCCCTCCTATTTCTCTCTTTTGCTTCTGCTTGACCGCGGCTGCATGTTTTCGACTCATAGACGTTTTCGTATTTTTCTTTTACTTTTTACACTATCAATACCTACCATATATTTCCCCGACACTGCCCCTGGTACGAATATCTACGCCGGTACGAATATTGAGACAGCCGATCGTGCGCGCACATAACTCTCCCACCCAGATCAGAAATCGACGCCATGGTGCTCGGCAAAAAGCGCGTAACCTACTATTACGATGGTAAGTTCATCTGCAAAAAAGGGCAGCATGTAGCATTGCCATCTCCTGGCAATGCATGTCATATCAATGGCGAGATACATGCCTGATGGCCAGAGAAGCCAGGTGAGTTACCGTCAGCGGCCTCGGGCAGGTGGTAACCAGGGGATTATTGGTAAAAAAAGTTCATTACCGTTCAGTGTACTGATCAAATACTATACTGGCTGCGTGCATCCCTCTCTAGATGAAGTGGGCAACTACAACTACGGGTACGACCACTGCATGAAGCCGTTCCGGATCCGCATGGCGCACAGCATTATCACGTCATACGGGCTGGACAAGAAGATGACCATGATCCGGCCGCCCCGAGCCACAGCACTCGACATGACTCGCTTCCATACAGACGACTATATTTCTTACTTGCAGCGCGTGTCGCCAGAGCTGGCCGAGCAGATGCCCACGTACAACGAATTGTTTTTGCCGCCTATGGATTGCCCGCCCTTCGACGGCGTCTACGAGTTTTGCTCGATATCAGCGGGCGGATCGATTGCCGGCGCGCAGCGGATCAACCATGGCGAGGCGGACATTGTCATCAACTGGGCCGGCGGCCTGCATCACGCGAAGAAGGGCGAGGCCTCAGGATTCTGCTATGTCAACGATATTGTGCTGGCTATTTTGGAGTTGCTAAAGTACCACCAGCGCGTGGTGTATCTGGACATTGATGTGCATCACGGTGACGGCGTCGAGGAGGCGTTCTACACAACGGACCGCGTCATGTCGGTGAGCTTCCACCAGTTCGGCAACTTTTTCCCGGGAACGGCGACATCAAAGATGTTGGCGTGCAGCAGGGCAAGTACTACGCCGTCAACGTACCACTGCGTGAGGGCATTGACGACGAGACGTACGCGTTTGTGTTTCAGCGCGTAATGCGCAATGTCATGGAGACCTACCGCCCCGGAGCCGTGGTGATGCAGTGTGGCACAGACTCGCTCTCAGGAGACCGCCTGGGCTGCTTCAACCTCAGCATGAAGGGCCATGCGGCGTGCGTCGAGTTTATGAAGTCGTTCGGGTACCGCTGTTCTGTGTTGGCGGTGGCGGCTACACGATCCGCAACGTTGCGCGCACATGGGCGTACGAGACCTCGGTGCTGCTTGGTGAGCCGCTGAATCCGAGCCTGCCGTACAACGACTACTACGATTTTTACGGCCCCGAGTACCTTTTGGACGTGCCGGCCAGCAACATGACCAACATGAACACACGCGAGCAACTTGAGCGCATATGCAGGGACATCAACGAGCACCTGCGCAACGTACCGCATGCGCCGTCGGTGCAGATGCAGGACGTGCCCAGAGACTGGCCCTCCGACAGCGAGGATATAGCGATGCTGAGGAAGGCAAGGGATCTAAGCAGCGCCGGAGAGGCCCAAGAGCCAAGAACACAGGCGAACGGGGCACGCACGCCGTATCGGCGGGAGCAGAGGCTACGGAGGCTGTGGGAAACAACAGCAGCGGCAGCAACTACAGCGACTAGCGCGGACTGGTTTTTGAGTGGTTGCAAATAGAGGTGAGGTCAACTTGGCCATATAGAGCTTGCTGCCGAGATACAGCAATGGCAATGGCAATGGGACTGGTGGTGTAGTAGCTGTCGTCTGCCTCTGTCTACTTAAACTCGGCCCAGGCCCCAAGTTCAAGTTCAAGATGGCCTCGGTCCCTTTGGGCCATTTGCACACAGCAGGGGGGGGTCAGACAAAATGACAATGCTCCCCACCCAGTGATCGGGAGGAAGAGAAAAACAGTGCTCGTTTCAAGCGAGTGTCAAAAAATGCGGCTTTGCTCAATTTTGCTTTTTTTAATATTTTTACTCTCCCTTTTTCGTCGGTTTTACAAATCCATTTTTTTCTTGTTTCACCATTCCATTTCAATCCATTATATTATTATTTTTTGTTTACTATTTATTTTGCCCTTGCTGCTCGTGCGCGTGCAAATATTTAGTACTTTTATTATTATTTTTTCTGTTTACATTTTGCCGCCTGATTCTAGTGACAACAAAAGAGAATAAGCAATGGCGGAAAGCGAATTTTACTACGGCGATGAGGTCCCTTACAATGCCGAGGACGGGTACGCGTACGACGACGGAGACGATTACGAAATGTTTTCGCAGGAGGATTGCTGGACTATCATTACACGCTACTTTGACGAGCACGGGTTGGTGCGGCAGCAGATCGAATCGTTCAATTCATTTGTCGAGCTGACGCTGCAGGAAATCATTGAAGAGAGCCGTACGCTGGTCATCGAGACGATGATCCAGGGCAGGCCCGGGCAGGAGATGATCAAGCGTACTACATTGAGTTTGGACAGGTGTTCATGACGTCGCCCTGCTTTTATGAGAAGGACAGCTCGCTCACGCCACTGCACCCGCAGCAGGCGCGGCTGCGTAACCTGACGTACGCGTCGCCGCTGATGCTGCAGTACGGGCAAAAGACCACAGTCATCGACAAGGCCGACCCGCGCAACATTAACGTCACGTCAGTCGCCGACATGGAGGCGCAGGTGATCAACGACTCGGGTCACTTTGACAAGAACGGGCAGCTCGTGACGACCGAGTCCAACCGGCCGATGCTGATTGGAAACGTGCCAATCATGATGCGGTCGCTATACTGCTGGACGCGCGGCATGAAGGACAACGAGCTGTTTGAGCAAGGCGAGTGCCCCTACGACCAGGGCGGGTACTTTATCATCAACGGATCCGAGAAGGTGCTCATCGCGCAGGAGCGCATTGCGACAAACACAGTGCTGGTGTTCAAGAAGAACTTGCCGTACCCCACTACACAGCCGAGATCCGAAGCCAAGCCGAGCGCGTGTCCAAGCAGCCGAGCCCATTGTTCCTCAAGATGTCCAACAAAGGCGTTGAGAAGGGCTCGGGGCAGACTATCCAGACCAGCATTCCGTACATCCGCGCCGACATTCCGGTGGTTGTGGTGTTCCGCGCGCTGGGCATGGTCACGGCCAAGGACATCCTCGAGCACATCGCGTACGATGTCAACGACACGCAGATGATGGAGATGCTGCGGCCATCGGTCGAGGAGGCATTCGTCATCCAGGACCGCGACGTGGCGCTGGACTACATTGCCAAGCGCGGAACAACGGTCGGCACTAGCCGTGACAAGCGACTGCGGTACGCGGCCGAGATCCTACAGAAGGAGTTCCTGCCGCATATCGGCACGCAGGCGCACAATGAGACGGTCAAGGCGTACTTCTTCGGGTACATGATCCACCGGCTGCTGCTGTGCGCGCTGGAGCGGCGTGAGCCCGACGACCGCGATCATTACGGCAAGAAGCGCATGGACCTGGGCGGGCCGCTGATGTCGTCGCTGTTCCGCATGCTGTTCCGCAAGATGACCAAGGACCTGTCGACGTACATGAAGAAGTGCATCGACACCAACCGCGACTTTAACATGCTGATGGCAGTCAAGTCGACGACGATCTCCAACGGGCTGCGGTACGCGCTGGCGACCGGCAACTGGGGCGACCAGAAGAAGGCTATGCAGGCGCGCGCCGGTGTGTCGCAGGTGCTCAACCGCTACACGTTTGCGTCGACGCTGTCGCATCTGCGGCGCTGCAACACGCCAATCGGCCGCGACGGCAAGATCGCCAAGCCGCGCCAGCTGCACAACACGCATTGGGGGCTGGTGTGCCCGGCCGAGACGCCGAGGGCCAGGCCTGCGGGCTGGTCAAGAACCTGGCGCTGATGGCGCACGTGACTGTCGGCGTGCCGTCGGCGCCGATCCGCAACTTCCTCAGCGAGTGGTCGGTCGAGAGCCTGACGGAGGTCGAGGCATCCAGCGTGCTGAGCGCGACTAAGGTGTTCCTGAACGGCGAGTGGGTCGGCATCCACCGCAACCCCGACGAGCTGGTCGCGTGCATGCTGGACGCGCGGCGCAAGGCGGACATTGCGTTTGAGATTTCGATCGTGCGCGACGTGCGCGAGCACGAGCTGCGGATCCACGCCGACTCGGGGCGCGTATGCCGGCCGCTGCTGATCGTCGAGCCGGACCTGCGGCTCAAGCTGACGCGCGCGCACGTCGACGCGATCGAGCGCACCGATGTGCGGAAGACGACGCGTACAAGTGGGGCGACCTGCTGGCCGACGGCACCATCGAGTACCTGGACGCCGAGGAGGAGGAGACGGCGATGATCTGCATGACGCCGCAGGAGCTGGCTGAGAGCTACTGGTACAAGCGCACCGGCACCGTGCCGCACGAGGAGGTCAGCCTGGCCTCGCGTGTGCGGTCGCGGCGTAATGTCTTCATCAACACGTGGACGCATTGTGAGATCCACCCGTCGATGATCCTGGGCATTTGCGCGTCGATCGTGCCGTTCCCGGACCACAACCAGTCGCCGCGTAACACGTACCAGTCGGCGATGGGCAAGCAGGCGATGGGCATTATGCTGACCAACTTCCAGCTGCGCATGGACACGCTCAACAACATCCTGTACTACCCGCAGAAGCCGCTGGCCACGACGCGCGCCATGGACTACCTCAAGTTCAGCTACCTGCCGGCCGGCCAGAACGCCATCGTCGGCATCATGTGCTATGGAGGCTACAACCAGGAGGACTCTGTCATTATGAACCAGTCGTCGATCGACCGCGGCTGTTCCGGTCGCTGTACTTCCGCACGTATCAGGACGAGGAGGACAAGCAGAGCCTCAACGGCGCCGGGTCGGGCAACTTTGAGCGGCCAACGCCCGACACGACGCTGCGCCTGAAGCGCGGCACATACGAGAAGCTGGAGGACGACGGGCTGATTGCGCCGGGCACGCGCGTCACGGGCGACGACATCATCATCGGCAAGACGACGGCGATCCCGTCCGACTCGATGGAGCTGGGGCAGCGCACGCTTAACCACACCAAGATCGACGCGTCCAAGGCGCTGCGGTCGACCGAGCGCGGCATCATCGACCAGGTGATGCTGACGACCAATGACAACGGATGCACGTTCGTCAAGGTGCGCATCCGCTCGACGCGTGTGCCGCAGATGGGTGACAAGTTCGCGTCGCGCCACGGGCAGAAGGGAACGGTCGGCATCACGTACCGCACTGAGGACATGCCGTTCTCGGCTGAGGGCATTGTGCCGGACATCATCATCAACCCGCACGCCATCCCATCGCGCATGACGATCGGGCATCTTGTCGAGTGCCTGCTGTCCAAGCTGTCGACGCTGATGGGGTCGGTGGGCGACGCGACGCCGTTCACCGACGTGACGGTCGATGCAATTTCGAGGAGCTGATGGAGCATGGGTACCAGCGGCGCGGCTTCGAGGTGATGTACAATGGCCACACCGGCAAGAAGCTGGCGGCGCAGGTGTTCCTGGGGCCGACGTACTACCAGCGGCTCAAGCATATGGTCGACGACAAGATCCACTCGCGTGCACGTGGGCCGCTGCAGATCCTGACGCGGCAGCCGGTTGAGGTCGCGCGCGCGACGGCGGACTGCGTTTCGGAGAGATGGAGCGCGACGTGATGATCGCGCACGGTGTCGCGCAGTTCCTCAAGGAGCGGCTGTTTGACGTGTCGGACGCGTACCGCGTGCACGTGTGCGACCTGTGCGGGCTGATGGTTGTGGCCAGCCTCAAGAAGAACCAGTTCGAGTGCCGCGCGTGCAAAAACAAGACGCGCATCTCGCAGGTGCATATCCCGTACGCGTGCAAGCTGCTATTCCAGGAGCTGATGTCGATGAACATTGCGCCGCGTCTGATGGTGTCGGCGCAGCCATGATCACAAGAAAATAAATATTTCAATGTTTCGGGATCATATCAACAGACTTTATTAAAAATAAAAATCAATCAGATTAAAACAACCAAACTCGCCCACGCTGCCTGTCTGTCTATCTATCTACCTATACTTTTTTGGTTGGTCTTACTTGGCGCCCGCAGCAAACTCGGCCTCCAGCGTCTTGGCCAGGGCCTTGAACTCGGCGACATGGCTCCAGCAGTCAAGCGGCCGGCCGGCGTTGTCAGCCAGGCAGGCGGCGACGCGGTCGCGGGCGCGCAGTGACTCCTCGTAGGTCGGGGAGCGAGTGGATGTCGAGGCGGCGATCTGGCGCGCGACGTCGCGGATGTCACTGAGCAGCTCGGTGGTCGATGCGTTGCGGTCGCGCGCCTGCAGATCGTCGAGCTGGTTCTTCTCGAGGATGCGCGCAAGCTCCTTGGCGACGAGGCCCTCGACCTTGTCCTGGAGATCGGTGCTGTCAACTGGCGGCGCGGCAACCACATTTTGCTGGGTCTGGGTTGGTCTGGGTCTGGGTCCGGTTCTGGGCCTGGTTCTGTTTTTCTGTGGCGTCTTTCACGAGCTTCTCTTTGAGCTGCGGCGTGAACTAGAGATACGGGGAGGCATTTGAGGTGGTCTGAAATTAGTACATTGCTAGTGGCTGTACGTGCGGCCATGCGTGTATGGCGTGTAGGCGTGTAGGCGTGTATATGCAGGCCTGTGGGCTGGTCGGCGCAGGCTACACGCTGTCTGTCGGATGTTTTTTTGGCCAGAGGAGGGGGGTTTGTCACTTACGCCAATTGGTACGCTGTTGCTGTAGACGTAGACGGGCTCCTCCTTCGAATTGCTGGCGCCCATTTTCAGGAATAAAGTGGCGATTCAGCGATTAAGATAAAAAATAGAGTATGAAAAACAGCGGAGAGAAAATGCACAGCAATGGCGTAGTTTGCTTTGCGGCTCAGCTATATCACATTAAAGCTAAGGTGGTGGCAATTGTGGTGGTTCTCACCACATAAGCTCAGCTCAGCTCAGCTCAGCTGAGCCGAGGCTTGCGAGCTAAGTCAATTCCGAGCGCGCATTGATGCAGTAGCAGCGGCCGAGATAGCATTCACTCATTCATTATAGCTTGCCTATAAAATGGCGGCAGGGAGGGCTCAATAGGAGGGTTTCATCAGCTTTTGTTTTAATAAAGATTTATTGGCCTCATCATGTCTGGCGATCACCACGCAATAATCGTTGCTGTGAGCCGAGATGGATCAAACGATCAATAAAAAACTTTTTACTCTTGACCAATTCCAACAAATTGCTTTTTATTTTCCACTCTTAAACTCAAGAGTAATTCGCACAGCCCGCCCGCTAATCGGCCGCATCAGCACACATTCAATGGAAGCGAACAGAGGCACCAAGCGCAAGGCGCCACCACTATCAGCGGCAGCAGGCCCGGCAGCACACGAGACGCTGGCCAAGGCGCGGTCGGTCGACGTCACCGGGTTCGTCGAGGCGCGCGCGTTCGAGATCAACGCGCTGCAGCGGTCGCTGGACGGCGCGCGCACAGCCGGCAACGCGCGCGCATTCCAGACGCTGGCGCGGCATCTGCGGCGCAGGGCAGCCAGCCACAACGTCAAGCGCGTGCCGGCGCGGCTGCGGGCGCGGGCAGAGGAGGAGATGCGCAAGTCGGCGGCCGGCAACGACTCGGCAAAGCCGCCCAAGCCCAAGCCCGCCACAGCGCACAGCCGCTACAAGCGCCGGCGCACGCGCGCCGTTCGCGACGAGTACGCGCTGCGGCAGACCGGCGCGCGGTGGCTCGAGACGCACGTGTGGCACGCCAAGCGCATGCGCATGGAGCGCGCGTGGGGCACAGTGGTGGCGGCGACGCCGAACGAGCGCAGCCACCGCGCCGCGTACCGCGCAGCCAAGGAGCGGTGCTACGCGCACGACGCGTCGTACTACGCGACGCTGGAGCTGACCGGCTCCAAAGACGCCATTCTGCAGGCGCTGGCGCCGCTGGTTGCGCCCGGCGCGCTGACCCCGGCCGCCCGCGCTACGCCGACGGCGCGCGCCTGGCGCCGCTGGCCCTGCACCGCGCCCACATGTTCCCGCGCGCCGCGCTCGGCCCGGCGTCGGCGCTGTGGATGCCGGCCGGCGCCGCCGCGCCGCGCACGCTGTGGCTGCGCACGCACCCGGCCATTGCCGACGCCGTGCGCGCCGAGCTGGGCGCCGCAGCCGGGCTGGCCGTGGCCGACGTCACGTGCGACCTCGTGTCGTTCGAGCTGCTGGGGGCCGCCAGCACGCGGCTGCTGGCCGCCGTGCTGGCGCACGCGCACACGCCGAGCGCCGGGGCGGCGGCGCTGCGGGCGGCGCGCTGCGTGCCCGCGCCCGACGCGCTGCCCGAGGGCGCGGTTCTCGCGCTGCGCATCCACGACCCGCGGCTGGGCTTCCCGCCGCGGCCCGATCCGACGGGCGGCGCAGGCCACGCCGGGTCGGACCACGGCGCGCCGGACGACGAGGTGCTGCGCGCGTGGCCCGGCGCGGGCGCGTCGCAGCTGCCAGGCGGCGACGGCGGCGTCTTTGACCGCGCGCGGTGCGCGGCCGATGTGGCGCGGCGGCAGTCGGAGCATGCGCTCAACCAGCGGCGGCGCGCGCAGCTGGTGCCGGGCACGCGGCTGGCGCCGGGCGCCGACGACGTCAGCGTGCCGCTGCTGCTGATCCGCACGGGCCCCGAGGCCGCGCTCGGGTCGCGCGTCGGCGCCTTCGACGCGCGCTTTGTCGGCGCCATGGCGCACGGGTGGACGCTGGTGGCGCCGCGCGGCTGGGGAATGGCGCTGTGGATGCCGCTGATCTTTGCCGGCGCGCGCGCCCAGGGCCAGTGCGAGCGCCTGCACGTGAGCCTCGAGGCCGGGCTGCCCGCCTTCCCGCGCGACTGGCCGGGCACGGCCGCGTACGACGCGGCCGCCGCTGCCGCCGGCGCCGACGCGCTGCTGCGCTGGCAGCGCCGCCCACCCGGGAAGCGCGCCAACTACGCGCACGCCGGCATCGAGTCGCCGTTCTTCGCGCCGCTCCACCGCCTGCTGGGCATGCCGGCCGCGCCCGCCGGGTACCCGCAGCCGGGCCCGGCGGGGCTGGAGTGCCGCATGCGGCGGCTGAAGAAGACGAAGCCAAAGCCCGCGGCGGCCGACCCTGGCCGGGCGGCTGGTCCTGGCCAGGCTGCCGAGCTTGACCAGCCCGCCGAGCTTGCCCGGCCCGCCGACTCCGCCGACATCTGGCTGGTCACCGGCGAGCGGCTGGCGGCTGCCGTCCAGGCGCTGCTGCGCACGCGGCCCTCCGCGACGTGCCCCTGCGCCAGTGGGCCGCGCCGCTTCTCGCCGCCGTCCGCGCCGATGGCGCCGATCAGCCCGATGGCGCCGACGCTCTGCTCCAGCGCTGCCTTGTGCGCGTCCGCCTCGTGTGCACGGCGCGCGGCGTGCCCGCCAACAACGCGCCCGTGTGCCTCCCGGCCTCGGCCGCCGACCCCATCGGGTATGTCATCGCCGGCTCGTTCTCGCTGGCTCGCGGCTGCGGCATGGCGCTCGCCGCCTGCTCACTACGCGGCCTGTTCGCCCTCTGCCGCGACTCGCCGCCACAAGCCCATCGGACCGTTTCCATCCGCGCCATGGACGGGGGCCCCGCCTGCGAGGCTGCGCTAACCGTCCTCCCGTAACTCCACTCCCCGTTTCTCGTGCTTTTTTCTGTTTTTTGTTTGCCGTATAATCCTTTCTTTTCAGCCGGGCCCCCCATTGAAACACAGCGTTGCCTGCAAAAGGCCCAACGAGAAGGAAAATAGCTCCTGCGGCAGCCCCGCTATGCGTGTGGTGATTCTCCTCGCCACATGAGCTCGGCCGAGCCGAGAGCTTGCGAGCCAGGCCAACGATGACGGGCAGGCAGGCATGAATGCAGCAGCGCCATGGTTTTATAGCCGCCTATAGAATGGCAGCAAGGAAGGACGCCAATAGGACGCCGCTTCCTCAGCTTTTGTTTTAAGAAGGTCCTACTATTGGGCCCGCCATTTCTGGCGATCACTGCAACGCGCCACTTGCCACGACCCCACAACACATGCTGCTTGCTCGGAACTGCCAACCGCGCGACATTGTGCGCCCGCTTTGGCACTTTGCGCTAAAAATATACAGCCAACTCTCTTCATCTTTATCTCCCCTACTTGTCCACCCCACACCAACACCAACACCAACACCACACCAACACCAACACCACACCACACCAACACCAACACCAACACCAACACCAACAAAGCCCTCGCACCCAATGCCAGACGAGTCGCAGCAGGGCGCCCAACAGCTCGACGCATCATACCCCGCTCCGCCAGACTACTTTGCTCTGTTCACCGACGAAAACATCGCCCGCCTCCAATCCACAAACCAGGATACCCTGTCAGACCGCGGTGCCGCCGACCCTTGGCTCGACCCGGTTTTAAATACCTGATGCCGCCGCCGCCGCCGCCCGCGTCCGCCTCATATTCAAACTTTGGCCGCATGTGGCACGTCACTGATCGCCTGCCCACCCTGGCAGAGCAGAAGATACCCCAGCTGTACCCAGACGGCCCCATCAACCGCATCGCGAGCTAGTCAGACTCAACCACTCGGTCGTCTTTGAGTTTCTCGACCTCGTGGACGTCCTCATCAAAGACCCGTGCTGTTTGCCGCCCGCACCGAGCGCATCCGCGACATCTTCGTCAACATCCACCACCTGATCAACGAGTACAGGGGCCACCAGGCCAAGGAGTCCCTCAAGCTTATGCTGCGCCAGCAGATCGAGTCTAAAAGAACGCCTCTGCCAATGTCCTGCAAAAATGCGAAGCTCTGGAGCAGACCATTGCTCGCTTGAAGCTGGATGCCACTGCCATGCAGGCAAACCTAACCCCGCCCGACCACAGCTTGCCGCCGCCGCCTCTGCCCAACGACGATGCCACCACCACTGCCAAAGACACGTCCTCTCTTGCTGCCGTGCCCTCCTCTCCTGATAGCCACACACACGTCGCGACTCTGGCCTGAATGCCATTATTGAGTCCATCCAGGGCATCTTGCCAGCTTGAGCGACCCGCCCAAACCATTGGCCGGCTTCCCTTTCTCATTTCTTTTTTCTTTTTAGTGATAAATGAAATGTGATTCGGATGAATAGAGAAAATAATTAATGCAGGCAAAAAAAAAAAAAATGGAAAGTATAAAATAAAATATAATGATCCGGAAGAAAGAAGAAAAATAAACTGGTTACAAGAAGCTGCTGTGGCTTGCGCATCCGCCCGCAGTCATATTAAGCTGTCTGCGTGGTGCTGCCCTCGGCCTGGACCTGGGCTGGCGCCTCTCCGTCCGCATCCTGGCTGTCCGCCGCCTGCCAATTGTTCAGGTGGTAGCACATGCGCCAGAAGAACATGCTGGCCTTCGACTTGTCAAATGACATCTCCTCCCTGAGGTACTCCGGCAAAGCGTCCAGCGCTGCTGTGTCCCCCAGCGGCATGTACTGGTAGCTGCCCTGGCAATTGTCGAGCTCCGTCAGCTTGTATTGGGCAGCCACTAACGGCCCGGACTGCCGGAACGCATACGACGGACCATCGTCGCCGTCCACCGCCTCGTCGATGCAGAGCCCGCTCAGCTCCTGAAGAATCTGCATTTCCTTGCGCAGCCCAACGTTAGAGTTGGCCTCAGCCCGCTTGAGCAGCTCGTCCATCGTCTTGATCGCCTCATCTTTGACCAGCGCCTCCTGCGTGAGCCTATCGACCTGTTGGCGCAGCAGCGCCGCCTCTTTCTCAAACTTCTTGTCGCTCACCGCGCGGCTGGCCGCTTCGCCATTCTGCACTGTAGCTCAGCCGCCTCCTTCAACCGGCTGACCTGAGCCTTCATCTCAGACGACTCTACCCGGAGCTTCCTGATAAGCGCGTCGGCCGCCTCGAACCGATTTTCGGCCGAATGTTTGTATTCCGCGTACTCCTTCTCCGCCTTTGTCTGCCGCAGCCCAAACAAGTCGTCATACTTTTTCCGCCACACATCAGCATCGCTGCCCGACGACTGCGCGAGCTCCTTTCCCTTTGCGGCGCCAACGCGCTGCTTTGGGGCAGCGACGAGAGCCTCGACCGGCTGCGCTCAAACCTCGATGGCGAGTCAATCTCCACAAAAACGTCGTACTTTGAGATCCTGCCCTTGGCCCTGGCGTTGGTCCGAGATTCTGCTATCTTTTCCAGCTCCGATGGGGACGTGGGAGAGTCAGGTTCGAGCTCTGATTCAAACCCAGCGCTGCTTTTTGAATTCAATCTGTCACCAACCGGGGCATTTAATCTGAATGGCCGCCCGTTCTTGCTGTTTGCCTGGGCCTTGCCTCCTGCCCGCCCTCAAACACACATCCTCGTCGACGGCCCTACGCTTGCGGCCATTGATGCAGCAGGTGCATTGGCTTTGGCCGGGGGATCAGCTCGCCCTAAGGACTCAAACAGCGAGGTAGCCTTGCCGCGCTTCTTTGTCGGGTGTCCATGCCAGGACCATCAGAATCAGACAGTCCGTCGCTGTTGTTGACGCCCATACGACCAAATGCCTCATTGTCTCGTCAAAGTGGGCGTCAATGCCGTTGGTCCGGCCATCGATTTTGTCGTCCTGCTGTGTGCGGCAAAATTGGCATCAGCATTGGCGCTGACAGCTACCTTCTCTTGGCTACGGGTCCGACCCACAACTACACGCGGGGCCGCCGGTTTGCTGCCGGTTTGGTTGCTGGCTTAACTGCTCGTTTGACCGCCGGCTTGGCTGCTGGTTTGCGCACACCCTGCTTAGTCGTTGCGGCCTTAGCCTTGGCCTCAACTACCCCTTCGTCTGTTGAAAATACCAGGCGCGTGCGCCTGTTTAGCACCAGCGTATCAGGCGGTGCAACATCGCTATCATCCTTGCTCACCTTGCCTGACCTTTTTGTGGCGGGTGTAATGGCCTGTGAAGCTTCCCCTTCGCCTTCATTATCGCTGTTGTTGTGGTACTCCCTAGGCTGACCCTTGGCCCCAGACGAAGAATCAGCAGCAGGGCCCTTACTCGATTTTTTCGTTGTTCGAGGTGCGGAAACGGTCTTTTTTGCGGCAACTACTCCCCGCGACTTCTGTGGAGGCATGGTAGGTATAAATAAAAGGAAGAAAGAGATAAAAAGGATAAAGAAAACGGCGAGCAGAGTAAAAAAAAAACTATATTATGTTGGAATTATCGAAATGATTAAAGATGTGTCCTTTATTTTTGGGTCAATTGAATCTCTAATCTGAAAAATCGCAACCGTGTAAAAGAGTGTAAAAAAAGAGAAAGAAAGAGGTATAAGCACCTAAAAAATATATTTGGTAAAAGGAGAAAAAAGAAAACGCGAATTTGCGATCGCGTTCCAATAATTGACAAAAGCTAAAACTCGGAATTCTCTGATTGGCTGAGCAAAAACAATCAAATAAAATCAAAAACAATCAAATTAAAAGTATGTAATATTCTCACAAGGCTAAGCGGTCCGCTCTTCCTTGACAGCAGCTGGCTGCTCGGTGTCCTCATCCATCTCGTTGTCGCTGGCCTCTGCCTGGCTGCGACTGCTTGTATCCTGTACAAGTTTTGCATCGGCCGCGGTCTGCGCGGCAGCAGGTATCTCTAGCGGCTCCTCGTCCGACATGAGATCGTCGCTGTCGACATCAATCCTATCGTCATCGTCGTCACCATCGTCAGCCCTCATTTTCACATCCTCATCGATATCCAGCTCCTCAACCTGTGCAGGAAGCTCGGGGTCCGGCTCAGGAAGAGCCTCTGACCGGTGATCGAGTGGGCGCAGGGTGCGAGAGACGCGGGAAAGTATACGATCAATGCGCAATCTAAGCACCGGGTTTCAGTCTCGACGTCAAGCGAGCGCGTATTGATTGTGGCGCTGGCATCGCCGAGATGCACGACTAGGCTCTTGCGGTCTTTTGAAAGCTCGGCCTCTCCAAACTGCTGCCGCAAAAATGCGGCCAGCTTTGTGGCGACCCCGGCGCTGCCACCTGCGCGCGTGGCCAGCGCGTCGCTGGCCATTGTGTCTCCAGCGCCGGCGCTGGCCGGCAACATGTGCGCACCTTTGCACTCAGCAGTGGCACGATCCTCCTCTTCGTCCCTGTCCTCGTCCTCATCCTCCTCCTTGATGCTACACTCGCCGTGCTTTTCTCCGCTGTGCGAGTGCCCGCAAGCGCCCTGCGTCATCTTAACGGATGCCGGACTGCTCTCGATGTTCAGCACCACGGCAACCACCGAGTCGGCCACCATGTCGTCCATCGCACCGCCCTGCCACTCAATCTCGACGTGCTTCTTCCAGCTCGAGTGCGCCACGTCGATGGAGTCGTAGACGCGCAGGATATGGGTCTCGCCGCTCGATGTCTTCTCGATGGTGAGCTGCAGCGTGCCAAACATTTGCTCCAGGTGGTGGCGCAGCAGGCCAAGCGACGACGCGTACGGCACCAGCAGCTGCTGCTCGACGACAACGGGCGCAATACTGGTAAACTCCTGTAGGTCAGAGGCGTCGACCAGAGTGTAGTTGAAGTCCTTCTCGACTAAAATACCGGCGGTCCAGTCGCCCTCGCGCGGCACCCTGCTGGCAGGCTGCCAATAACACGTGCCATCTTCTCGCCGCGGAAGTACAGCCTGACGTTCTCAGTGTTTCGCGGCGCGTGCACCTGAATGTCGTAGTCAGAGTTCTTGTACTTGTCGATGATGTTTGCGCGCAGGCTGCGCATCGTGTTTTCCTCGCCGTGAACGAGCACTACGTACGGTGCGCGGATCTCGTCGATAAAGGCGCTGTTCTGCGCGTAGTCAACGTGCGCCGAGAACGAAATGTTGCTGACCGACATGCGGCGTGGGATATTGCCGCCAGCCAGCGCCTGAATCGAGTCGGGCCCGTTGACGATGCTGCGCGCCAGCGTGCCCTCGACCGAGTACCGGTGATGATCAGCCCATTTTCGGGCCTGGGCGCCCAGCGCTCGAGCAGCTGGCGCGAGACACCGTTCTGCAGCATTCCAGGGCTGGCGAGCACCACACATGGGCCACTGTCCGGCACCTCGGAGAGATTGGTACGCGTCTTGATGTACTTGAAATTGAAGGGGTTGGTGCCGTTGCGGTTGTACTGGCGCTGGATGCGCTGGTTCATGTGCATAATGTACTCCTTGTACAGGTCCATACCCCGTTTACCCAGCGACGAAATAAAAAAGATGGGCACGCCCTCGAGCTCGGCCGTAAACCGGCCCCAGTGCTCCTCCAGGATGAGCAGTAGCTCTTGCGTGCGCCCCAGCGCTGTGACAGGCATCAAACAGCTGCCGCGCCGCCGAATGATGTCGCGCACCTGCTTCATGAACGCCTTTTCGCGGTCGACGCGCGGCTGGTGGCTCTGCAGCCCGTATGTCGACTCAGTGATCAACACGTTGACCGGAACGCCTGGGTTCTCAGCGGCCACCAGATGCCGGTCCTCCTCGCGTGAGTAGTCACCGGTGTAGAGCACTTGACGCCGGCGATCTCGATCAAGAACATCGCCGCCCCGAGAACATGGCCTGCGTGAAATGCCGTGAACTTGATGCCGTTAACCTCGGTCAGCTGGTGGACGTCGATCTCCTCGATCTTGGCGTGTGCGCTGATGATGTCTGCCTCGGTGTACAGCGCGGTCGACTCCGAGTTTGATGTGTTTGTGACCGGATGTAGTCGTTGGCTAGCCAGCGAAAGACGCCCTTTGTCGGCCGCGTCATAAAAGTGCGGCCCTTGAATGTGGTCTTCTCCAGGTAGTACGGGACCGCCGCCGCGTGGTCAATATGGAAGTGCGAAACAAGCAGAACATCGACTGTCGACGGGTCAATGTTGTCAAAGTACGGCAGGCTCTTCTGTCCGCTGTGGCCAGCATGCAGGCCGCAGTCGAGCATGACTGTCTTTCCCTTGTACTGGAGCACAATGCACGACCGCCCGACCTCGCGCCCGGCGCCTAGCGGCATAATCGTCAAAAGGTCGCCCTCGTCCTCGATGGGCACGACGACCTCTGTCGCCCTTCGGTTCGTCGTGGCCATGGCTCGGCGTTCAAAATGGAATGTAAGCTAGAATATGGTGCGAACGACAACAACAGCAAGATTGAAGACCGAAATGCAGTGAGGTACGTCGATTTGAAATGTCCACAGTAGCACACGAAACAATAAATAATAATAACAATAAAAGGAATCGTAACGCAAATGCATTCGGGACACCCCGCTGCGGCCGCGAGTTTCGAAAGGGCAAGACATTTTTGTTTTTTGTCGAACACAAACACGAACACGCTCACTGCAATTCGTGATCTGATCTAATCTGATCAAAATCCGCGACTATCTGATCCGTTTTTTTGGGGCCGCAAGTGATGTGGGCAAACAGAGGCTTCTTTTTTTGCGTGGCAGCTGACACGCCCTTTTTTGGAAATGACAACAAAGTTGCTTAATTCGCTCTACTGGGTCCAGATGATATTGAATGAGGCATGCGTTCTAAATTTAGGACTTTACTTTTGGCAGCAGCCATTCACTGCTATTTTTCTTGATGTCATAGAAAATCCAGGCAGACCTGCTGTCAGCCACACGACCAAGCCAAGCTTTTCTCTGCACTCTCCCCAACTCATCATGCATGACTTTTTTTGTGCACACCTCTTATTTGTTGTTTGTGCGCGTAGCTGTTGTAAATAAAGAAATTAAGATTGTATATTTTCTGAAGCGTACAACCCAACATGGAAGAAATCAAGCGTGCAAACGGAAGGGTGTGGGCAATCATCTATTTTGGATTTAAAATTTTCAAAATAGTGCACCCCCTAGCGTCAAGCATGTTGCAGCAACCAGTGATAAAAATATATAAAAATGGAGGTCATTGTCAGCATCGGAAGCTTACCAGCTGCACACCGCAATAATGACGACAGCCTGTAGCACTACCGTGTATAAAAGAGAACCAAGCTGGAAATTGACAATGTTCTGCTTTCTCACCGTTGTCATTTTCGATTCTGTATTGTTTATTTTTTACTATTATTTTGTGTATTTACTGCCTGCTCTACCTATTTTGCTTCCAAGCCATAGCAAACACCACATTGCCTCACCTATCTATAACTAACTAATTAATTAATACTCCTCCTTTCACAAAATGCTTCGCGGATTTGTCATCACGCTGGTTATCGTCCTGCTCGTGCTGCAGGCACTGTCATCTCTGTTCGAGACTGGTATCTACGCGGTGTGCAGGTCTTTTTGGACAAAAACGATCTTGCATACACCAAGGGCTGGCAGTACTACTTTAAATGGGTTGTTAAGCCGCTGTCGGCCGTCACTGCACTTGGACTGCTGATATCCAGCATGTGCTCTTGCTGCTGTGGCGGACCCAAGCGCTCGGCCGATATCCGCGGTGGACGCACGTTCCCAAGCGTGCTTGGGTTCTTCTCGCTCGTCCTGACTGCGCTGTGGGCAGTTGTTGTCGCTTTCCAGGTGCGCGACACTAATGTGACCACGATCGATACAATCATCAATAACTCCTTTGCCAACCAGGCGTTCATCTACCCGCTGGGAAAGGGCTTCTCGCTGAGGAACGACTGCAAGGCCAGCCCATTTACGCTGATGGAGCATGGCGAGACCGCCTGCACCCTGCTCAAGGCAGAGACGGCCCTGACCATTGTTTGCCTCGCCCTGTGGGCGCTGACCTTTATATTCTCGACTTTACTGTGCTGTATTGTGCGCCGCACTCGCCGCGTCAACCACCTACTGCCGACTTTAACGCATATAGTCCTACGACCCCTCAGTTCAAGCACTGAGCAGATTTGAGGATAGATAAAGCCATAATGGCGTTTGTTTTTTGTCGTTTCTAACTTATTTAATGAAATGCAATATCTACAAATTACACTTGGGCAATGTAAGCCCGCGGACTATTGACTAACGTAAAAAATACATAGCGGAGAGACAAATATCACAAATTCGATGATAGATTTGCTAAAAAAAAATTGGTGAATATTGGCATTAGTACACCAAAGAAAAGAATGAGACTACAAGTATCCTACAAGTCGACATCTTCCCACAGATTGAATAGCAACCTGAAAGGTGTTTAGAAATTAGTGGCAATAGACCATTATGGTTGAAGATACTATCCAGCTCGCTGCTTCTTTTGAAGAGAAGAAGCAGGGACAAATGGATTCTTGCGCACACGCTTGGTCTTAGTCCTGGGCTTGGGCTTGAGCAAAGTCTTGGGTGTCGCTGTAGACTCGGGTTCAGCCGACTCTGACGATGTTTTTTGCGCAAGAAGCGAAGAGGACGATTGCCTGTAGCAGGGCATTAATAATGATGTGGAAGTTCAGCCCCGCAGCCATGTTGCGATTATTCCACTTCCATCTGCCTGATGGCGCTTTTTCGCCATTCTTGATCTTGGTTCCGTCAGCCCTAAAGGTTTGCACTGGAGCAAGCCGTGGCATAAAATTTGGCGAGGTTTTTCTACCACCAGGATTATATTAACGCCTGTTGCGGCTACTTACTGCTGTTGACCATTCTGCTGTTGCTGCTTCTGCTGCTGTGCAGCCAACTCTTTCCGCATCCTCTGTCTGACTTTGCACTCGATTTTGCCCCGCGACCAGCCGCTTAGCCTGATAATGCGCTTGAGATTATCGGCGGCTGGGTATTGATATACTGCTTCCAATTCCGCTCAGCTAGCTCATCCCGCAGCTGCTGCTTCACCTTGCGGGAAATCTCGCTCTTAGACCAGCCCCTTTCCTCCTTATCTACCGGATGATATTGGCAGACTGTGGCCGAATAGGCATCCACTGGTTGCGACTCTGCTGCGCACTGTCAGTAATAGATGTGGCGTTGGCGGCAGTTTTAGTTGCAACAGAAATGGCTGTGGCTGCTGCTGCAATGAAATCAGCAGCAGCGTCGGTTGCAGCTGTGATGAAATTGGATGCTGCTGCTGCCATTGCGACGTGGTATCTGTGCTTAGGATTCTGCAGATGAGAATCATCAATTTTGTGAAACTTCTCCATCCTGCCCTCACGCACAGGGCAAAAAGTTGAGGTGGAATACTCGTCAATCAAGTAACAATGAACCCTGGCTTATTAGCATCTCTCGCAGCCCCTTGCCACGAATTGGCTCATGGTGATGGGCCATGCCAGGGGTTCAATTATCAAGAATAAGGACTAGATCTGGCTCAAACGCTGTACGCAAAGTTTTTGCAAGTTCGACGTCAGCATGCTTTCTGTTGACAAAGGAAAGATAATGGAACTTGCGGTGCAGGGGGTCAGTTGAGCTGCTGCCGTCGTACTTGCGACTCTTGTCAAGGATCTAGCATGTTGTGGTAATGTTCTCCCAAAACAAAACCACCTTTACGGCGCTCAAGGAGGTACTCTACATACAGCCTACAATCAAGTATACTGAAGTCAGGGTGGTTGAGTGCACGCTTGGCATCCTCAACATACATATACCATTTGTTTCCGCCTTGGCAAGCTTTGTGGGATCAAGTTGGAAGTCATTTTTTATGCTTTTGTGGATCCAATGAAGAATGTGATAAAAGAAATTGCGGCTTGTCTCCGGCGATTGATTAATGAATCAATCGCTAGTTAATTCCCTACTTGGATATGCGGGAATTCATACGCACACATAAATACCAATGAATATGAACATGTAGGCTGTTCATCCCTTAGCTTTCTTTTAGTTCATTTTTATTCAATATATATTTATAACATAATAAAGAACATGTTCACAACGTTTATTACCCTCTGAATTATTGGTATAGCGGAATATAACTCTCTCATCCTTTTTATAATTGCTGTTATACCCCAAACAATAGAGCATATCCTGTTGACTGGTATCACAAAGAATTGATTTGTCAAAAATACCATGAATAATATTTCTGGCAAATCACCAATGTATTCGGGAGGGAAGCCTTCTTACTGCAGGGTACATTATTGCTGTCGCTGTTGTTTTTGTTATTGTCATAATGCCAGAACCTTTCCGAGACTATGAAATACTCTTAGCCTTGATCCCTCATTTTGTGTGTTTATTGGTGAGTCGAGTAATACAACTATTGCAACACCATCGGTACGAATGATCCCTCAAATCCTGTGCGATTTTTTGTTTTTTGAGTATTAAGTGAGAATGGCTAACAAGATATATCACAACAAAGTGACCAATTTCCTCTGGCAACTTAACTAAAAGCTCCCCCATAGGCGGAATCTTGGGGGCCTTGATATCCAGGCAAAGACTATCCTTGTGGAGCACTTCGAGTCGGCCCTTTGTGATAGACAAAATAAACCATGCATGAATGGTTTGTCGAGCGTAGTGAAACCCGGTACAATGGACATCCTCATCAGAAAGAGGGAAATTGTCTTCACAGCTTTGTTGAGTTTTAAAGACTGAAACATATCAACAAATGTCCCAAAGTGGTTTACTGTCTCGGCTATAAAATCATACTTTAGTCCCCTGTCGCTGAAACTGTAGCCTTTGTGGTAGGTGCCAAAGAAGCTCTCAATTAGGCGCGCCATCCTATTGTAGAGAATAGGGTTGAAAGTCTGCTTGGTGTCGAGCTTCTTCCCGGCTTTGATTTCTTAGCAAACAGCAGAGTCCACTTCATCTTGCCCCCCCCCCCAGAATTCTGGTCTCCTTACTAATGCACTGTTGTATTTATTTTTCAATATAACCGCCCACACTCTCAAGAATTTGTACTGTTGTTTAGTCCATTCCTTTAAATCAAGTGCTATCTCGACCATGTGTCTCAGTGCTTTAAAGCACTGAGACACATGGGATTTATATGCTGCAAGGATTGTCGCACCCTGTAATTAGCAATATTGGCTGCACCAATGAGATGTGGGCACTCAAACTTGGTCTCGACGAACGTGTACCTGTGCTTGTTGTCGAGTTTGCCGTTTGCATTATTTAGGTTGTTGCTGCATGATTTGTTTTATCTCCGAGGCAAAGGGCAATAAATCACTCCTTAAAGAAACCTGGATTTAGATGGTTGACAATACTATAGTCCTCATCATCCAGCTCCTGTAAAAAGATATACTGTGCGAGCTTGTAGGTAGCTGTTGTAACACGATGGACAGTGACAACATGCTCGCGCAAAGCTGGTAGGAAGTAGGGACTGCATTTTTCAAAGGCCGGGTAGGGCCTCCGCACTGATGGGCATACTAAATAATAGATATAAAAATAAAAGGCTGAATGAGTTGATTTGAAAATAGAGTGTAAAAAATGTAAAAAAATATATCTGCTTCTAATACTATTTAATTACATGCAATTATACTGCACTTTTATATATATTTGTATTTCATTTAATAAGTCATTTTAAAATACAACAAAAAATATTTATTACACTATAAAATTGGTTTTAACAAAAAGGAGGATTCTATACTAGATGGTGGTTTAAATACCCCCAACGATGAATATAGAATCCTATAGAAATGTGCATGCAAGCCAGAATGCTAATCATTATTGATTTGATCATGAACACCTAATTCCTAGTAACAGTTTTAGGCATGATACCTTAAATAGGCGTCCTGATGCAAATCAAGTAAAGCAAATGTTGTTTTCATGCCTTTCCATAAATGAACATATTGATTAGCTCAATAAATAAGGCAACCATAAAATATAAAACAAATGCAATAACTTTAAAGCAATCGACTATGTGCTGTAATTAGAATATGGATTAGCAATTGGTGATAAATTGAAATATTATCTTGCATTTATACTGTTATTTAACTTTGACTTTGCGAATAAATTGTTTGTATGCTATTGTTGCACAGACTAAAGATATGGAAGTGGATGTTGAGGTTGAGAATCGCGAAACAGGTTTCCACCTGCATGCCGATTGATAGGGCACTAATTGGATCATGAAGGCGCAAATTAGGGAGGCATTACATTGATGCCTAAACATGCTCCCCATTTTGCAATGCACACGCATGAGTGTACACACACGAAAACCACAACACTGACTTGCCAAGACACCAGTCTGCTGCAGAAGATCCAGTTCTCACCAACGGCCGCACAATTGACAATGTGCACAACAAAGGCGACAAGGCACATATATAAGATGAGGCCGGCCTAGTAGTATTTTAGAAACATCAGTAATAAAACCTTTTATAAATTCAACCACATTCTCTAACACTAGAAAACTAGTGCTCTCTACGCACCCCTCTTATTATAACACTATTACGTCACTTGTTAAATAATTGGATTAATTGCTTGTTGAAAAGAATGCGGTGAAATAAAATGGCAATAATGATGCGAACTATGTGAGTAAAAAAGACTATAATTCGCGCCCACAAGATAAGACATGCTCTCATCTTTATCTTCCTCATTTATTATCAATTTTCAATTTCATACTCTTATTTGACGTTGCTTTGCTTGGTAAGTAATATTAGCAGTTTTAATGTAGTGTTTTTACTTGTAACATTTTTCATATTATAGGCAAAATTGGTTTTGTACTTGTACTTATCGTTATTGCCGCTGATTCCATGCCATCCACTCACTGCTGTTTTCTGTTACCGTTGTTTTTTGTCTCCGGCTCTGTCTCGCACTTGCTGCTGTTTCTCCGTCTTGCATATTGATTCCCACTTACGTCGTTATTTTGTCACGCATTTTGCTTTTGTTTATCTTCCAACTTGCCGCTGCCACTTTAACCTGAGCTCTACATTAAAATTGCCAAAGCAGAACTGGTTTTGCTGCATGCGCTGGCATCAGCATTGGTGCGGCCGTAGCAAAACTGGTTTTTCTACGGTGCTGGTGCCGGTACCAGGGCGCCTGAAAGATCTGCAGTCTGAATTTTATTTAGAATTTTTGGCATTTTATATACTGATTTTATTATTATTTAATGTAATAAATGCAAATAATTTCAATATTTTATATTTTCAAAACCGAAATCAAAAATATAATATATCGTTAAGCGTCACACTTAACTCATAATAAAGCACCAGTCAGACGCAAACATTGAATACTCCCCTGCATCTTCAAAAATCTGGATTTTCTGAATTTTAGGCTAAAAAAGTGAGGAAAATGGGTTTTGAAAACCCCCCCGCTTAAAAATCTGGAATTTCGTTATAAATGTCTGGAAATTTTAAAATCCATTATCTTACGAGCCAACGGCTCTTCAACAATTCGGATGGCCAGCAGGCCAACCCTCAAGATGGTTTAAGTCTTTCTGGGCCACGCCTTATTTTTAAGATATAAAAGAAAACCTGAGTGCCCAAGGATGATTTTTTGTCCTTTGCCAAGACACCCGAGGCAGTTCTCACGGCAGGGCGGGCATTAACTAAGAAAATTGAGAAATGAGTTAAGGAAAGGAATGGAAACCGCCTTTCGGGTTTGCCAAAGGTCAACCTGTATTTATACCAGTGTAATGCAAAATGAAAACCTCACCGCGAGTTGAATGGCTCTTCTTTGTGACTCCGTCAAATGGAGCCACGTGTCGGGCCATTTTGGATTCAACTGCAAACGGGTGCATCAACTCGCAGCATTAGTTTACAAAAGAACGAGCTGAGCCCATGCTGCAAAAGCAAATTTATACCTCTGATATTCTTACTAAACAAAATTACTTGTGTATAAATGGAGCGACATAAGCGAGCGCATGAAACCTTGCTTTTTTAAAAGAAGTTCAAAAGAATAGTACGCTGCAGCTCCCTCCATTTTCCGACATGTTGCAGCTAACATGTCGGAAAATCAGGGGAAATTGTGCACAATACCAACTATTAAAGCTTACCAGCAGCACGCCAGATTTCAACATTATAAAAGAGAATGGTGCTGACGGAGATTTTTTATGTCGTTTTTATTCCCACCATTTTATAATTTTTGTTTTATTTATTTTTGTTCTACTGTCCTAGCTTCCACATAAACAATACAGTTTCATTTTCATACAGTCATTTAACAACCTTATTTTTTACATAATGCTTCGCGGGTTTGTTGATACGGTGGTTATCATTCTGACCGCTTTACTAGCCTTGATATCCTTGTCCGAGTTGGGTATGTTTGCCGGGGTGCAGCTCATCATGATCAAGAGACACCTTGTGTACACCAGGAGCTGGCTCTACTTCTTTAGATGGGTCGTATTAGCACTTTCTATTTGCTTTTCAGTTAGACTGATGGTTTATAGTTGGTACTTGTGCCGCTGTGGCGGACGCAAACGCTCAATGGAAAGCAGCTCAAACCGCACGTTCCCGTATCTTTTCGGGCTCTTATCGCTTATTCTAGCACCGCTTTGGGCAGTAATCGTTTCATTCCAGGTGCGCGGCACCGACTCGACCATGGTGGCAACAGCCTTCAACAACTTTACCTCTGGCCAGACAATTGTTTTCCCGCTGGGTAAGGGATTCCTGCTAAAGGACGACTGCCATGCCAGCCCATTTACCCAGATTGAATATGGCGAGATTACTTGCTCGCTGCTCAAGGCCAGCACTATTATAACCATTATTTTACTCGGTCTGTGGACTCTGTCCCTAATTTTTGCAATCTCCCTGGGCTTCCTTGTGCACCGCACTCGCTACGAGAACAATACCGACATTTACATTTACCCTCGTGAGACTGCGGCACCCGAGCCCAAAGACTAAGAGATGTATAGGTCCTGTCTTTGTGTCTGCGAGACGATGAACATGTGGACCAGTCCAATTAATTGATGTGGCTATATTTTAATGTGTACATACACGTGCAACATCGTTGTCGGTTGACAGGGGCAACGCGTTCAATATTTTAATTTAAATAATAAATAACAAATAATACATTTACAATTTCATTGTATTTTCAAAATTTTGAATGCCACTTTGTCAAGGTGCCATATTTGTATTGGGGATGCAGTCGGTCTGTCCGTTTTTTGCAAGCAAAGATGGATTGGACTGTCGCCTGTTTGCGTGCATGCACGCATGCTGCCCCGCTGATGCGGTCGAAATTAGCGTCAAAAATCTACGCTTCTAGAAAAAGAAAAAGTTTGACATTTGACAATGTTTTCCAACAATCAATCGACAAAATACATGTAAACCAGTATATCTGCAATACTATATTAAAAGGCGCGCGTGAGAGAGCTCGGCCGCAAAGTCAATAATCAAAATTGAGCAGTCGTGCGAACATGACACAATGCGCGACTTGTCCAGCATGAGCTTTAAAACACGCGATGTATGCACGTTATTGATCCTGTGAATAAGCGCTCCAGTCGAGAACTGCCATATCTTGATTGACCCATCGTACGAGCCTGAGACCACAATATTCATGCTGCGGTCGAACATGACTGTGCGCACCAGATCTCCATGCGCATTGCCAATTGTGCGCTCGCATGCCCCCGTTTCTGCGTTCCAGATGCGGATCGTCCGGTCGCTGCTTCCTGAGACAATATACTTGCCGTCAAAGTCAAGGCACGCCACGCCACGAGTGTGTTCAACTAGCGTCATCACACAGGAACGTGTGTTCAGATCCCACACGCGGATTGTTCGGTCGCCTGAAGCAGACACCAGCCTGTCATTGTGCAGGTGGATAGCGTTGACAGCTATTGCATGCCCACTCAGCTCAATCAGGTTAATAAAACCGCAATTGTCGCGCTGCCACACCCGCAGCATGCTGTCCTTACATGCCGTTGCCAGCCATCTGCTATTGAATCTCAGCGACAGCACAGCACTCGGGTGGGCAAGCCGCTGCCTGATCAAAAGTGTTTTGGTGTCCCACACGCACACGCTTGCGTCTGAAGAGCCTGTGATAAGCATGTTGCTCTCAACCTGAAGCGTGAGAACTGAGCCCGTGTGGCCCCGAAGCGTTGCCAACTGCGTGAGCTGACCACCAACCTCGGATAGATGCCACAGCTTGACCAAGTGGTCCTTGCTCCCCGTAAACAGCCGGTTGCAGCGGTCAAATTGCAGACAGTACACGCCTTCCGAGTGCGCCGACTCCCATCTGTCTACTCGGCACCTACCACTACGCCAATTTCTGAGCAACGAATGGTATTCAGAGTACACTTTGCGCCAATGGATGGGCCTGTCTTCTTGGTAATGCATGTTAATCTGCTTTTGTGAGCGAGTGAGCGCTGTGCCCTGGAAATTCCGCAGAGAAGGCACTGGCAACAATGGCAATGCCAATGGAAACGGCTCTGGCAAACTAGAGACAAGAAGCGGCACCATACTAGCAGATTCAAAAAAATTCTGCTGGTTTGCTGACGCCATGCCCAGACTCGCCAACGTGGATCTGCTGGCCCTAAACGCGTGGTATTTGGCCTTGGCAATTGCAATTTGTTGCGGCTCCCAGGCAGGCAATCTGCTTGTGCCAAGCGACATAGCCCACGACGTGTCTGCCAATTGGGCTTCTATAGCCGCCGTTGTGAGTGCGCCGGTGTCTGCCAAGTCATGTGGCCCAGTGAAAGATGCGGCCAATGCTATGGCTATAGATGCTTGAAACACAGCGCTGTCGCGCAGAATTGTGGTGGCACTGAGGCCCTGTGGAATGGAGCAATAGAAATCCCAGCGTTTCTTGTCCACTGCCCAGCCGCGCTGGTAAAACAGCCGGCGCCAAAGGCAAGGCTGGGTTGCAACGGCGTGCCAGCGGCGGTTCACAAGCGACACGTTTCTAGCAATGTCAGAGGCGGGCACAAATTCGAGGATTCGCGTTGATATTTCAACTGGCAGACCCCCAATAAAGTCGCGGCGCAGGAGCATGCTTAGCTGGTGCATGGCTGAATTGAGCATGTGTGTCGGGACATTTGAAAGCAGCAGGATTGCGAGTTGCGCGCAGAACTGGGGATTGACCGAGCTTCTGAGGGTGAATGCCAACGATTCCATAGCCTGCCATTCGGCGGACGCAATTGGTAACCCGTCAGAGTTTACTGATACTGCCAATATTAGCTTTGAAGATAACATCAACGATGATGATTGTGGTGGCGATGGCATTGCTGCCAAAGGCAAGCGGCAGTCATCAAGACCTTCGTCCTTGTGCTTGTACATAATAGTATGTTTTTATTTGTACAGACAGGCGGGCGGATGGTGTTGTGATGCAATGAATGAATGAATGTATAGATGAATGTGTGTGATATATGTATATATGTGTGTGTGGATAAAGATGCAGTACAAAATAAATGAGGGTGCGAGAGTATTTCATCGAGTGCCAATGTAGATATTTTAAAATGATGGACGACAATGATAAATGTTTATTGGACATGTGCCCAATAGAAGCGGAAAAGTGATAATGTCGTGTGGATATGCAGATATGCGGCAGTGTTGTTGGCAAAAGGCGAGAAAATGGATTATTGTTTGTCATGTTGCCGGGCAGCGCGTTTGTATTTAAACGGCTTGAAAAACTCTATATTAACATTTTATTTGGTCTAGGACATGGACATGGACAGGCGAACAGCAGCAATGACAGCGGCATCTGATCGGGATATGCTGGTCAAGAATTAGTGGCGAGGCTGCGCGTGATGTTGCCAACGGGCACGACGCAGCCACTGCTCTGCTCTGCTTTGCCCAAGTATGCACTGGCGTGCAGTGTATGGTGCGCGGCGAATGCAAAGAAAATGCCGCCTTCCGGCTGCACATATTTTGATGTCCCTTTTTGGCATTGCGGCGGCAGACATGCGCGAGTTGCAGTACAACCTGTATTTTGAGCTGTGTTTCCTTGTCTTTGTCCTTGCATTTAAATCTGTATTTGGAAAACTTCTAATGTGTATACATTTTATAAAAAATAAATATATTATTAATGCGAGTATTGAGTCGGCCACGGGATAATGAGGGCGCGGGTGTGCCACACATGCCTTTAGTGGTACCCACGCTGCCAGAGAAAATTCAAGTACACACCATCTCTATTTCAAAATAAAAGTCTGTGGCGCAGACACTGACACTGACGCTGACACATGAAGACAATTACCCCGCTGCGCACCAAGCGCAGCCTTCAAATTGGCGTCTGGGCTGCCGAGAATCCGCGGGCAGGGCCGCTGACTAGCAGTCGGGGCTCCAGTAGCGCACGCTGTGGTCCACTGAGCACGACATAAAGGCGGGTGATGTTGGTGATGGCGCAATGCAAGTGATGCGGTCTTTGTGCTCGGCGCCGCGGCCGAGTAGCTTGGCGGAGGCGGCGTCCCAGCAGACAATAGAGTTGGATCGTGCGTCCGGTGCCATTACCAGCGTCTCGTCGTGCGAGAACACGGCTTGCGCACTCAGCCCATCCATCGCCGCGCCTTCGTACGTATTAACCAGGCGCCCCGAGGCCACATCCCACAGGCGCGCCGCTGAGTCGAGGCCGGCAGTCAGCACGTACTTTGTATTGTGCGAAAAGACTGTGGCTGTGACCGGCTGGCCGCCGTGCGCCTGTGCCAGAGTGCGCACGCACGTGCCGGAGCGTCCGTCCCATAGGCGCACGCAACCGTCGCGCGACGCGCTGGAAATCAATGCGCCTGACGCGCTGTAGGCAACGTTCGTGAGGCCAGCGCCAGAGGATGAACCTGATCCTGAGTGCGCATCTGCGTCGCCGCGCAACAGGTATGCCTTGGCTGAGCGCACGTTGAAGATGCGCAGCTCGCTGGCGTCGGTTGCGGCGGCCAAGTACTCGCCGCTGGGGTGGAAGGCGATGGCGCGGAATGCGTAGTTATCGTGCATGCTCTGAAACGAATGCTTGCCGTACGCGGCACTCAGGTCAAACAACCTAACGCTGTGGTCAGCAGAGCACGATGCCAACACTAGCCCGTTGGGATGGAACGCCACTCCAGTGATTCCGGCGTCGTGATGGTAAAGCGTGCGGATCACCGGCTTGTCCTCGCGCCGTACTACACCGGCCGACGGGTTGCGTACGCGGTCGACCTCAATCAACTTGAGCGATGTGTCCTCTGATCCCGTCGCAATGTACCGCCCATCCAGGCTGAAGGCCGCTGCGGACGCCGTGCCCTTGTGCTTGGTCGTGTACCACACGTTGTACCGCGGCATCACCGCCGGCGGCTGCGCCTGCGCCTGCGCCTGTGTGCTGCGGTTAAGATCGATCCCACCTCCGGTCACTGGGCCATCCTCGTTGTCAGACGCGCCGTCGCCCCCCTGCACATGCACCTGTGCTTGCTTCTGCTCGCTGCGCAGCCCCAGTGCCACTAGCTCCGCGAGTCGCGAGTTGCTGTCTGTGGTCATTGGCACTTTGGTGTGTGTGGCAACGGCCTGGCTCAAGTTGCCGTATCCGTACTCTGTGAGCTGGCACAAGATGAGTCGCAACAGTTCCTCGCGCTGAACGCCTGTGTCTGTATCCGCGCCGTGCATGTGTGAGTGTGAGTGTGGGGTAAAGTGACGCGCTTGATCTGGTCACTCAGAAAAATAAATGAAATATAGGACAAACAAATAAAACAAAAACTCCGATTGGCGGCACTGAATTTAATGGCAAAATGCAAGCAAGGCAGAAAATATATTTTTAATTATGCGAAACAAAATGGAAACGAGAGCAAAAGCAGAGCCGCTTGACGCCATCCTCTTGACCCTTGTCGGCCCACAGCCCATTTTTTACATTTTTCATTTTTCATTTCAGTCACGGTCCAAGGCTGTTTATAGCGGGCCCAGCCAGGGCCTGATTTATTTTTGTACTATTGGTCGTGATCATGATCATGATCATGGTCTAGCTGTGTTTGATTTGCCCTGCCCTGCCTTACCTATTTGCGTCTGCTGCTGCCCTGCACCTGCATCACAAGAACACCGAAATGGGGGAGCGGCGGATATTGCGACTCGCATCAAAAAGCGCGCTAGGCGCAAGTGAATGCGGCGGGCGATATTTTCTCCTCTTTGTCTTTGTTTGCCTTGCACTAATTTTCTTTCCACACGACCCCCCTGTTTATGTGCCTCTTTTTGGGACCTTGCATTCACAACTTCACCGCACTCGCTCTCCTAGTACTACTTTCGTTACCAGCCCTGGCTAACCCGCCTTCACCAGAAAAAGCATCAAGCTGTGCCGCCCATCATGAACAACAGTGATGGCCATGCCCGGGACAGCAATGGTGCGCTTTTATCGCCTGGAACCATAAATCATGCGCCAGCGCTCACATCTGCTGCTGACAACAAGTCAAATCATTTCGACACCAACCAGCCCGCGCCGCTGTCTGCCAGTCAGTTTGAAGACTTTGCGCTCATGGCCATGTGCGCCGCCACTGCCCTGGTTGAGCAGCGCTCCGCGCAACCGTGCTCTACCACGCTCGCTGTCGCCGCCGCTGCCACTGGTCCTGTGGCGCAGCATCCAGCCGAGCGCGCAGTCGACTTTGTATGGCAGCTGGGGCTTGTCCACCCGGAGTCCGGCCTGGTGCCCGATGACGACTACGGCCGCATTCACATGCTGCAGTTTCTATACATCTGGGCCACCCGCGTCCTGCCAGCACTGCATAACGCCCCAGAGGCCCTGGCTCGGTCCTGCGACCTGGCGACGCTCAGCAGCTGGATTTCACTGCAGCGCCGCCGCCAAAAGAAGCAGCGCGGCCCCTTCTGGAACGGCCGCCTGCCCAGCGCCGCTGAGGTTGTTGTCGCGCCATTCGCCGATTACCTTCTACACGCCGGCATTATCCCTGACACTCAGGAGCATGGCGCCCTGGCTTCCTGGCTGGCCGCCGTGCAAGCCTTGTCTCTACCGATGCAGTTGGTTCGTTCGGGCTAATAGGCAGCCATGAGCAGCTTCGAGCAAGCCATACAACGCCTCGGACTACCCTCATTCACGTTGCATGTTTTCTTTTCAGTTGGAATTAAAGCGAGTCAAATCAAGTTGATTCAAGCTTGCCGATCTGATGCAGTATGCCCTGTTTTAAATGCATTTTGTGGGACCCCCTCGTATCTCGAGGTCTGATACTCTTTGATATTGAATAATAAAAATATATGCCAAAAACCCAGCCTGCCCAAGCCATGGACTTCAAATCCGCGGTTATTCCCACACAAGCCAGGGCTGAGCACAATATTAATCGCAACTGATCAAACCAATCGATTGCCATGTCGATTCGTCCCCTCCCTCTTTTTCGTGCCCCTTGGCGCAAAATATAAATATGGAAAATTGATACTCTGAACTAAAGGTTGCCTTGGGTTTGCGCTGTGGATATAGTTGGACAAGGCGTGTAAGCTTCCTGAGCCTGAGCCTGAGGATATATTTTTTATGCTTAGCTGGATTTTCACAAAGTCCGTCTATTAGTATAGAAAATATGGCAGGAACTCCGAATAATTTAATGTTTTTACCCCCAATCGCGGCATTAATAACTAAGCGTATATTTTTCTGTTCTTTTGCCTTTTTGACCTCGGCCTAGCCCATTCGCCAGCGAGAGAGAAAATCGATAAATACAAAATAATCTCGCGCAGATGGACGAAAACCGCGCATCAAAATAGAAAGACAGCTTTGGCTGTCTGTGCTACGCAAAAGTATAAAAGTGCGAGGTCACACCCAGGCCCAGAATATAAATACTTCTTTGGAATCGTGTCATATTTGTGGCCTACTAATACCCAGAGCATTCTATCTTCTACTTTTGATCCACCCTATTCACATATTTTTCTTTGCAAAATGCTCAGCATCTTCTCCTTGCGGCAACAGCCAGAGGACGCAGGCCGCATAACCTTCAAAGACTCAAAACTGCGCCCTATCATTAAGCGCAGCATATGGGCCTACCTTGAGGTCATGATGTTCAATACATTTATGATCTGGACCGGACTGTCGATATTCCTTGGCGCTATGTACGAGCGCTCCACCCACGCCCACAACCTCGACATTTACGTAGTAGATCTTGACGGCGGAACCATCGGCTCTACCTTCACTCGCAACATCCTTGACATCAAACACACTCTCACTGACCCAACATGGCACGAGATGACCGGGTTTTCCACCGTCGCAGAGGTCAAAGAGTGGATTAGAGTCAACTCATGGGGCGCACTGGTCATCAACCCCGGCGCTAGCGACCGGCTGAACAACGCCATCAGCAACGGCGCTGAATACGACCCCACGCAGGCGATCACGCTGATCCCGTCGACTGGACGCCACGTCGTGGCCGAGATGTTGTATGTCGAGAAGACTTTGGCTGCTGTCGCATACAGCATTGGCCAAACGTTTGCTCTGACGCAGGTCAACTCGTACATCGCTGCCGTCGCCACTGCACAAACTGGGGCCGACATACAGACCAACTATGAGGCCCTGTTCAATCCGATTGCGTACACCACTGACAACGCCTCGCCCATGGGCTTTGGTATAGCGGCTGTGCTGACCACTTTCTCGACTTTGTGCCTCCTGTTAACGAGCATTTCCTTCTTGATTATGTGGAAGCTGACGACCTTCTCGCTGTTTCTCAAGACAAAGTACCGTGACCTGGTGCTCATGTGGTTTGTACTGCTGCTTGGTCTCGCATTGTACCTGTCTTTGTTTGTGGCGTTAGCAATTCTCGCGTACAAGGGGCCCGACTACAATAGCCTGGCACTCACATTCACTGCTGCCACATTCTTCAAGCTCTGGTTCACTGTAGCCGCCGAGGCCCTGGTCCTCGAGCTGTGGCTGTTCAACTGGTTCTTGCACTTGCCGCCGCATGTACTTGCCTGGCCGTCGATAGCAACTGTCATTAGCGACGTCGTCAGCTGCATTGGCTGCCCCGAGCTGTCGACTCCATTCTTCAAGATCATGTATGCTATACCCGCTTATAACTCTTCACGCATCATCTACTACATTCTGTCCGGCGCATATCCGCATAGCGGAAAGCACGCCGGCATTTTGATTGCAGAGATAGTTGCCATGGGCCTTCTTCTGTGCGTCTCCATCTGGATACGCCAACTGGTTGTGATCCGCGGCATCTCCGACGCCCACGGTTTTTACCGCGGTTACACGTACTTCCACTCGACGGTCCCATACTACAAGTCTGACCCTACCAGCACTGAGCACAACCACAACAACATCGAGTCTGGAAACAGCCATGCCAAGATGACCAAACAGATCGGTGTTAACAGCCTGGAAAACGAGTCCACCCTGTCTGGCAGGCGCTACAACCATGGCTGCAGTAGTTCTAGTGACATTGAAATTAGCGACTGTATTGACGACAATGTAAGCCTTCGCGATGGTGCTCTTTGAGCCAGCCTACACATTTTTATTATTTCTTAAAAAAGCAATATATAATTATTTGTCAGAAATTTGAGCCAGTCCGCTGGCACCTACAAACGTCAATTGCTCATAAATATTTACGATATTACATAATAATGTACTGTAAACCCCTTATAATAATAAGTGGCCCATCAGTGGGCTGTATGCAGAGCGCTGAAACGCAGTAACAATTGACGAGTGCACTTGCTGGCCATTAATTATCTGCCGCGGATTGCGCCAGACATCGTGGTTGTCCAAATATTATTATTTTGCTTCCAGACAATGTTGAATGTTCAGCTGTATCTATTTTTTCCTCAGCTGCCGACAAGCCAAAATAGCTCAAAAAGTCTGCCTTAAAATCAAACCATGAGAGCCTTGACTGATGATTCATATTTCTGAGGCCTGCAGCCAAATTGTGCTTGTGAATTTGTATCCACGTTGTTCATTAAATGTACTGGCTGTCAAACAGTCAAGCGTAAAATATGCAACACTTTTTGTTGGCAAATATTTACTGCACCATTATGCTTTCCAACTCTTTTTCATATTTTTAAACTTACTATGGTTGATTGATGCACGCCAAGCTGGTAGGGTGCCATATGCAAGCTACAAGAGCGTGCACGAGATGTCACTGTCAATCAAATCAGCCAGCCTGTTTGTCTGACTGTTGGCAGAAGACCAGCCAACATTGCTCTTTCGACGATACGCACAATGATCTTGGATGCAGACACTTATTAAAAATTATGTGTATACCAATAGCGTACAGTTCAAACTCCAGTGCTAAAAAGACACAATGGCGGTCATTTGCAATGCTTGTTTATAATAATCATGGAGTTGGGCACTGTGTGTGAAAAATTCAAATATTTGATAGTCCACTACGCACAACACATTAAGACGCTTAATATTTTACAATATGGTACCTCTCAACAACAACGGCTGAGTATGTTGTTCTTGGATTTGGTTTTGTGTAACGCCTACGGGTTTTCTACAAACCCCATCAGGCAGTTCAGCTTGCCGCTTTAATAATACATTCATAAAGTATCTGCATATTTTGAGATTAGTTTTGTTTAATGAAACATATAGTAAACACGATTATGTAGTTTATGCAACTCAATTGTATATATCTGTTTCTGTGTATACGTGGCTTATTGGCAAAAACACCTTATAATCAGTTTAATATTTGCCAATATCATAATTAGTAGTAGCAACAATGGCAAATTTCAACTCAAATATGAACATGAATCACAAAGGTCATTTACTATCTATTGCATTGTATGCTAAACGTTGTTCTATTGAGCTGGTATTGTTGTAAAATCACACTTGTATTACATTGGTCTGCCCCTTTATTATTGGTCTTTACTATACTTGTTGACATAATATTTTGTCATTAACAATTTGGGACATATTTGAACCATTCAGTACATTACTGCCGCCACTCATCTGTCTCAAGTTGGTGTTATGGCCAAGCCACCGGCTGTAGTGCCTTCAAAATAAACAGATTGACAATAAATTAATAAGCTCAGGGCTGTTTTCTTTTAAGCATGCCAACCCCATATAATCTTGCGAGATTATTATTTTACTTGCTTCTCTATTTGTACTCACACTCCATATTTTAGTAATACTGTACTGTTTTATAATTATATTTATATTTATCAATTTACCAATGGACGCAGAAAACTGTCTTCGAGAGGCCATAAGGACGCAGACAATTCCGCTACACCCACTCGACATGCTGGCTGGTTTTATCAACATACCATTCATATTTTATTATGGAAATACCTTGGACAGTGATGCGTTTATGCCGACGCGTGTAATGAGAGACTCGCTTTTCATGACGCTGGTTGAATTTCCCATTCTGGTTGGTCGGCTGAAAGTGGAGAGCAGTGGCAAAACAGTAGTCGTGGTCGACGAGAACAACCTCAACATGCCTGAGCTCAAGGAGACCCAAAGCGACATACATTTTGACGACTTGAAATCAGTAGGTTTCAGCTGGAGTGCTATGCCTCAAACCACGGTCACTGTTAGAGTATTTGCAGCTGCTGGCGACCAAGGCTGCATTAAGTTGGTCAATGTTCACATTGTCAGACTCAAGGACAATAGCGGGGTTGTTCTATTTGTCAATGTGCCTCATTACGTTGTCGATGGCATTGGATACTGTGCGTTTATAAACCAGTGGGCCAAAAACAGCACCCAATTGCAGAACGGCATTCCAAACTCTAGTGTGCACGCTAAACCATTTGACTATGACCGCCAAGCTGTTTCTCGCTGCCTGTCCAGCAGCAGATCCACTCCTGACGATGCCGCATATCCCATGTATACAACTGAAAGCTACCTAGCTCGGTGGCTGGCTTGGCTGACGCCCGAGAGTCGTGGAAGCGTGCTTAATGCGTTTGTAGCTTTAGATTCAATTGAGGCCCACGTCTTTCATATCCGCGCTGCATCTATTAACTCGCTGCACAAATCTCTATGTGCAGAGATAACTGGCGGTTTGCGCATCAGCGACAATGACATTATAACAGCACTGCTCACCATGGTTCTTGCTCAGGGGGAGAAGCAGGTTGAAACAAACAGCAGTATTGGTGGGTTGAGCGACTGGCACAATATTAAATCTGCTGTCGTTTGTGCAGCGCAAAGTGTTTTCAAGCGACATGCATATAGTTGGGCAACCACAGTGACAGTGGATATCCGGGGCCGCGTCGACACAGCATCTGCAACCAACTATACTGGGAACATGGTAATGGGCACAGTGGTCTCCAGTCCCATATGTTTAGTGGAAACAGAGATAACAGGCGAGTCCCTAACACACGTGGCAACAGGAATTAGGCGTGCAGTTTCACGAACCGACGGTCCATACATTAAAAAGCTAATTGATGTTATCAGCAAGGAAACTAGTAGCTATGCACAGGCACTAGGAATTGTGTCCATGGGCTCGAAAATTTTGGTCATAACCAACCAATCACGGTTTCCATTGTACACGGTGGATTTTGGCAGTGGCATACCAGCATGGGTCAGCCCAATTCCAAAGTTTTACAACAACTTTGCATCAGTGCTTCCAAGGCATCCATCAGCTGACGGCTACCACATATACATATCGACGCGATCAGCAACAATGCAAGCAGTTTTAAACAACACGTTTTGGCAAACCATGGCGAGGCTGGTGTACTAATCAAACATATTTTTATATACATATTAACTGCAAAAATAGAATACGTTTTTATACAAGTACTTTGCAACCATATCACATGTATTACAAATTCCGAATTTTAAAATATGTATTTACACTATTATAATGTTTAATAATGCCATTTAAAATTAAACATTATGAATAACCAAAGTACAAGTAACAAACATATACACAATAGAGTGTATTAAAATTATAGGAAAATAATGATTTAAAACAGTAAGAAAATACCAAGATACAGTATAAAATGAAGCATAGAAAACGTACTATATAAAATAAATGACCAAGTTAGCTATAGGATTCTCTCCTATGGATTATGTTAATAAGCTTCTGCTAAGAATGATATATATTTGAATTGAGACTAGGAAACGAGCTAAAAATAGACATATTACATAATTGCTGGCCACATGCAATATCCCAACAATAAAATTGCATATGTTTATACTCTTTTATGACCCAACCCGATTCTGGAATCACATTCGCCCCTATTTAACAACAGACTTTGTTGGTCTTGATGGTGGTGCATATAGTTCTGTCTCATCCACATAATTTTTCTTCCCATGTTTGTCATTCCACCCTATATCCTTTACAATGTACTAGATACTCGTATTTTCGCCTCCATATATCGTTGTCCATTATCATTTCAATGTGGTATTTCAGATGACACATGAACTCTACAGATGGTGGCTCAGAGTGGAGCTTAGCACAGTGATTGTCTGCAGCATGGTATTATTCAATTGTAACCACAAGATGACTGGGTGGATGTGTATATCAGGCAGAAGCATGAGGTGGAATGTGTTTCAGCTGACCTGCTCAACAACTATAGAGGGCCTGGCTCATTTGTGTGAAAAACGAGCAAAGCTTCTCTTTGCTCAGCTTTATAAGTTATATTTAAAAGGAAGAAAAAGATAAAGTTCTAAGCTAAAGAAAGAATGTGAAGAGACTGAGGAAAGCTGTCTCTTATATAGGAGATAGTGAGTGAAGATAAGAAACATAAATAAAAGAGTGGTACTTTAGAAACTTCTGGTCTTGCAATCATCTTACAGTATGCAAGACGGAGTTCCACCAATAATGTAATTCCAACACTCCCCCTGACAAGGTGCTCACATCATACCAGAGGATGAGCGATGTCTGACAAAGGCATATAGGGGCAATTGCTTGGTCAGATAGTCAGCAGCTTGGTCAACAGTCGAAACATACTTGAGATGATATACTTGCTGAGATAGTGCACCATGAGGAAGTTGCAGAGTGGACTTGTAGTGCCTGTTGACATCAGTCACAGCACCAGCGCGTGTATTGTTGATAGTGCCCTCATTGTCACAGAAGATGGTGGCAGGGTCAACATGTACATGGATGTCACACAGCAGGTCTTGTAGGTACATGAGCTCACGGACAGCAGAGGTCAGGGCAATGGTCTCAGCTTCAACTGTGGATTGAGGTGGCAAGCCAAGAGCACGTTTCTTTGACTTCCAAGCAACTGCTCCTCCTGCCAGAGTGAATACATAGCCAATTACCATGGCTTCCACAGTACGCAGTCCAAATGAAGCATCACTGTACCCAACTAGGTTGAGGTGTTCAGACCGACGATAGTGAATGGCCATGTTGCAGGTGGTCTTCAGATACTTGAGTACTCGCTTGGCAGCACCCATGTGTTTCATCAGTGGTTCTTGGTTGAATGATGCAAGCACAGAGGTGACCAGAGCAATGTCAGGCCGAGTGACCATGGCCAGGTACTGCAGGGAGCCAACAATTGAGCGGTATTCAGTGGCATTGCACTTGGCAAGGTGTGGAGCAGTCTCTCCAAGCTTGGCAGAAGCAGCAATGGGCAGATCAACATCATTGGCTTCCTCAAGGCCATACTTGCTGACCAGGTTCTGGATGGCAGTAACCTGGTTGATCTTGATGCCATCAGACATGTGATGCACATTGATGCTCAGGATTGTGCTGCACATACTCAGATCCTTCATTGAGAACTCAGCAGACAGAGCAGTTTTGATCTTGGTCAGAATGTTGTCATCAGATGCAGCCAGAAATAAGTCGTCAACATAGGTTGTCAAAATGCATGTTGCAGAGCCACTCTTAAGCCAGTAGACACCTGGGTCGGCATTGTTGCACTGGAATCCAAGGCTGCCACAAAGGAAAGTATTCAGGCGACAATTCCAAGTGCGTGGTGCCTGCTTCAAACCATATAGGGAGTAGCATAGCTTGAGAACACTCTTGGTCCAGTCACCAGTCATGCCATCAGGAATCTCAACATATATGTCTTCTTCCAGGTCACCATGCAGGAAGGCAGTCTTGACGTCCATGGAGTGCAGCAGCCAGTCATGGTGGGCTGCAAGTGCTATGACTATACGAATAGACCTGTAGGTCACCACAGGTGCAAACACATCATAGTAATCAATCCCAGGGTGCTGCTCAAAGCCTCTGACTACCAGGCGGCCCTTGTACAATGGTGGCTCGTCATCTGAGCCTTGCTTGACAACAAATACCCAGGGTGTGCTCAGAGGGTGGATTGAGGATGAGCGTGGGACAAGCTCAAACACCTCATTCTCAGCAATAGATGCCAACTCGCTTTTGATTGCAGCCTTCCACAAGGGTGCCTCCTCTGAGCGCATGGCCTGGATGTAGGATGTGGGGCCTGATACAGCCACACCACAGAACAGGGCACCATTGCTCTGTACCAGAGCATCTTGGTCGTCATCATAGCTGTTGCTGTTATAGTCATAGTCGACATCATGGTTGAGCATTCTGGTGCTGTCGGCCTGCACTCTGTCATCCACTCGCCACCAGTCTGTTGTAGGCTGGCTGTTTCTGGTGGTGAGAGTGCCTTGCTCATGAGCAGCAATGTCAATGATTCGTGCTGAGGCTGCTGAGGCTGCTGAGCGACGGCTGAGCATGGGTGTTACTGGGTCAGTAGCTCTGGCAGCAGTAGACGATAGCCTCAAGGGAGATGGGTTGGTTGGCTGGTGTCTGTGGATGTTGACACTGGTGCTGGTAGTATCTTGAGCACTGCGGCTTGACAGAGATGATGGATGCCCAGAAAAGGGCTCTCTGCCTAGTGGCTCAGTGGTTGATGTACTGTTTCTGCTGTTGCTGTTCCTGGTACTTGTGGCTGTGGCTGAAGAATGGCGAACTGGAGTGTGCTGGGGTGTCGAGCTAGGACTGTGCTCCTCATGGGCAGTGACAAATGAGGCATCAGTAAACTCAGACTCATTGTTGCTGTTGTTGCTGCCATGTAGGATAGACTGGATTATTCTGCTGTTTCTCTGGCGCCTCTCCTGAACATGCCTCCACTTGTCCTCCTCTTGCAGCTGTGCCAGATGCAGGTTGTCATCCTCATCAAACAGATCTGCTATGTGTATGGGGCCATGCAGTGTGGGCATGTCAGTCATTTCTGACTTATGGAAGTAGAATGGTACAGAGGGTGCACTTTCATTGTAGAATGGAAATTCTGCATCCACAAACTTGGCTCTTGAGGTGTGTAGAACACGGCCAGTGTCTATGCGATACAGCAGTGCCTTGCCATCCTTGGTTCCCAGGTACACACACTTCTGGGCATGCTCACCAAACTTAGAATGCAGCTCAGGAGGGTACTCACTCCAGACCAGACAGCCAAATGGATGGATGTTGGCAATGTTGCTGGCACTGTCCAGCTTCTCAAAAGGTGTGCTCATGCCAAGAGCACGCTTGGGCAGACAGTTGAGCACCCAGTTAGCATGCACAATGGCAAAAGCCCATAGACAAAGAGGGACGCCAGACTGCAGCAGCATGGCATTGGCCATCTCTACCAGGGTGCGATTGTATTGTTCAGCTACACCATTCTGCTGGGGTGTGTGGGGGGAGCTGGTAACCTGGCAGATGCCATTGGCCTCACAGAATGCCTTCATATCTCCGTTGATGTATTCACCACCATTGTCAGAATGCAATGTCTTGACCTTGGCATCCAGCTGGCGCTCCATCTTGGCCACATACAGCTTGAATCTGTCAGTGACTTCTGATTTGCGCCCCATGAGATACACAAGCACACTGCAGGAGTAGTCATCTATGAAGGTGACAAAGTACTTGCTGCGCTCAGCAGATGAATGAGTCACAACACCAACATCAGAGTAAACCACTTCAAGAGGTGCCTTGGCTCGTGGCAGGTGGCCATTGTGTGGCTTCTCAGCTGGCTTGGCAACAGAGCACACTTCACAGTGCTTGTCTACAGATCCCACCAGTTCCAGGCCAAGAGTATCGGCTGCATGCTTGATGTAGGGTGCAGATGCATGCCCAAACCGCACATGAGCATCCAGGGCAGAGATAGACTTTCTTGACAGCTTGCTTGTTGGCAGCACAGTGGCAGAAGATGGGATGCTTGCAGCTGAGACCAGCTTTGGGGCTTTGGCCAGTCGATGCTTGTCATAGCAGGTGTCAGGGACTATGTAGTAAAGACCATCTTCAAAGTCTGCTGCCATGATTGCTTCACCATCCTTGTACACAAATGCACGATTTTCGGAAAAGAGCACATCCAGCCCATGCTGTGAAATGTTGCTGACTGACAGCATGTTCATCACTGACTTGGGTACATGGCGAACATTGCGTATTACAAAGTTGCTGTCACTATCACCAACACTGACTTGGCCAATACCACAGATCTTGGTAATTGCACCAGACATGCCCATGATATCTCCTGAGCAGGGTGAGTAGCTGACAAAATCCTCTCTGTGTGGTGTTGTGTTGGCCATAGCACCAGAGTCCAGCATCCAGGCAGATGGGTTGCTGAGCAAAGGCTGAGCAGATATGCTTGAGCCAGCAACCAGGTGAGAAAGTCCGCCTATGAAAACAGACCTGGAAGAGCCCTTGCTGCCTGATGCTGAGTCAGTAGTATCTGTGAAAAATGAGCAAAGCTGAGCAAAAGGAAGGTTTGCAAGTTATATTTAAAAGGAAGAAAAAGATAAAGTTCTAAGCTGAAGAAAGAAAGTGAAGAGACTGAGGAAAGCTGTCTC